CGGCAAAGAGCATAACCTGAAGGAACTGCACACCATTCACCGCCTCGATCGCATGACCTCAGGAGTGCTTATGTTTGCCAAGACAGTGGAAGTCTCCAAGAGGATTGATGAGCAGGTTCGGGAGAGGCAGGTGAGAGATTTTCTTGGGTTTTCTTGTGTGGTATATTCTTGAAAAAGGTTAAGTCAGAAAGTCAGGAAAATTTTTGGTCTAAATAAGCCTGATAATCTGCTTATGGTTATCTAGTTGTACTGAGTGTAGAAGGATTCTGGAAAAAAAGACTGAGCAAAAAAGTAAAGGATATTGATAGTACTAGATTGAAAGGGGACTGTATCCCTGTGAGACTGTGGGCAGCACCATGGGATGGTTTGGGCTGGAATCACAGAGCTATAGGAGTTGGAAGGGACCTCTGGAGATCATCCAGTCCAATCCCCTGCTAAAGCAGGTTCCCTACAGGAGGTTGCAGAGGAGAGCATCCAAGCAGGTTCTGAATATCTCCAGAGAAGGAGATTCAACTGCTGTGGGCAGCCTGTTCCCTTTAAAATTTATGAAGATTCTCTCATTTCTATTTCCACAACCATAGCTGTAGGGTACAAGCTTCCAAGATTTGTTTAAATGCACTGAAACAAAGGTAACAATTCAAAGCACTGAGAGGTGACTCTTGAATTTAATATGAGGAAAATAGTCCAGGCCTTTGTTCTTGAATTCCCAACATACTGGGGAAAGTGTGAGATGAGTTTGGTTACGTAGCTGACTTTTTTTTTTTTTTTTTTCCTTTGGTTCCTGTTCAGTTGTAATAAAACTTAAGGAGTAGATTTGCTACAAAAGTCTTTGATAAAAGAAGGAACTAACTAGGATGAGATTGAAGCGTAATCAGACCCAGAGACAGTATTCTGTTCTGACCATCACTCTTCTTTCTCCCCATAGCTGGAAAAAGAGTATGTCTGTCGTGTGGTGGGGGAGTTTCCAGAACATGAAGTGGTCTGTGAAGAGCCCATTCTGGTTGTTTCTTACAAAGTGGGAGTGTGCCGTGTGGACCCCAAAGGGAAGTGCTGCAAAACCATCTTCCAGAGACTCAGTTACAATGGCAAGAGCAGTGTGGTCAAGTGTCTTCCACGTACGGGGCGGACGCACCAGATCCGGGTCCATTTGCAGTATTTAGGATACCCCATTGTCAATGACCCCATCTATAATATGGAAGCCTGGGGGCCTGAAAAGGGCAAAGGTGGAAAGATTGGTAAGACTGATGAAGAGCTCCTTAAGGCACTGGTGGAGGAGCATCGTTCCAAACAAAGCCTGGATATCTTGGGTATCTCAGAAGAGGACTTGAATTCTAATGCAGAGAACAATGACTCTGGAAATTCAAGTGAGTGCACAGAATCTGTGCAGGCTGATCCTGTGATTGAGAACTCCTGCCTTGCTGAGGACATCAGGGGTTCTGAGACAGAAGAAGTAGTAGCTTACCCACTGAACTTCAATACTAATATAGAAATGCTTGAAAAAAATACAGAACTGGGCTCACATGAAAATGAGGGTAGGCAAACAGGAGAAAAAAGTTCAGAAGAGAGGGACCCTTTATGCGTGGAGTGTAAAATCACAAGGCAGGACCCATCTCCCAAGGAGCTGGTGATGTACCTACATGCCTTGCGCTATAAGGGAGCGGAGTTTGACTATTGTGCCAAGATGCCTGAATGGGCAATGGAGGACTGGGAGGAGTGACAGAGGACGTGACATCTACGGACATGGTTCCAGCATGGCCAGAAGAGCCTTGTGAAGACCTAAAGCTTTGTTGTGGTTGAGGTGAACAAATTTCCTGTGAATTGAGATGGTCTGGGAAGACTTTGCTAACAGTAACTGTAAAAAGGCAGGAAGATGGGGTTGTGACACTAGGATTACATTGTCCTTTAGTGAACACCTAGGGAACCCTTGGCACAGGGAACTTGGCCTCTCACCTCAATCTGTTTTGGGTCTGCTGTTAGTTATCTATGCAGATAATTTAGTATGTACACTTAAATTAAGCAATGGATTTTTTTCTCTCGATCTGCTGTGTTGTACTGTACAGTAAGAGCTGCTGTAATGTTCAGTGTACTGGGTGTCATACAAAAAACTGCTTGTATTTTGATTTTACTGTCAAGCTGATTGAAACATTACCCCTGAGAATGCTGTAAGTCAAACCAGGGAGTGCTGCGAAGCTGATTTGTTTATTCTTTGTCAGCAAGGTGGACTTCATTTTGAAATTGCTCTTATGGAATTCCTTCATACAGTTACTTTATTTAAGGTTAGTTATTCAGGGAACTGATCTGTATATTTTTGAAGATACTGGTCCCAAGATTTTACCCTTCTGAGATTTACAGGGAAACTGATGCACTAGATTTTGCCTTCATATTCTGCCCTCTCCCCTGTGATCATCATATCTTGGAAACATTCAGAATCTTTTTTTGATAAATCTATTATCTGTAACCCTTATGCCTCAGTGAAAATATCTTCATACATGAAAAAAAATCCAAGGTAGAAAGGTCAGTCTACCAATTCTCACTTTTTTTTTTTTTAGCTGTACTATAGGCAGATTGTTTTGGAATGGTGTGTGTTTTTAATATTGCTTCATCTGTGCTTCAAGGTAACGTTTGGCTTTAAAGAAAAATAAAAGCTATTTTATGTTTGTTTTTTTTTAAATATATTTTATAATAACATTTCTGGGATGATAAATATCAGTATCATTCTAATTTTCATCAGTGTTTCTATAGTTGCTTCTTGGCTTCTGGGAGGGTGATTACAATCATTGTATTGTCTCAGGTGTTTGGGGTTTTTTCTCTCTTTTTTTTCTTATGTATGCTCAGAGGTTATTACCAGCTTTAGCTGCAAGCTCCTGGGCAGAGCTGCGTATTTGGGGTCCTCTGCACCCATTCACGTAAAGTGTGCACATAAGGTTCTACAAATCTTTAATATTTTAGAAACATTTTCCTAGGTGAATGAAGAAATCTGTAAGTCCTGATGCTCTTTAGCAAGCATAGCAAAGACCTGCTGGTGTACGGATGGTCTCTCCTTGTCATGCTGTGCTCTAAGAAGCTTTATTGCCTCTCAGCCTCCTAAGACACACTGGAAAACTCTGCTTCACATCTGCCCTTGAGTGGGGTGCTAGGGACAAATGCTGCAGGATTAAGGTTTGCCAAGGCCACATGAATAACCAGCCTCCTAGGCAAGGCTCCAAAAATCACATGATACCTTATGATGTTACCAGGACTTGTGCACCAAAATAGAACTAAAAAGTGCTTATTTCTTCCACTGTTCAAAGCTACAGTGTTTGATTTTTTTTTTTTTTTTTTTTTTTTTTCTGTTCTCTTGCATGCAGCTGTGGAATGATTTTTGTAAGAGTCTGCTCTTGAGCTATGCTCTTCTACTCCTTGCCAAGGGACTCTTGTGATTCTAGACATCTGTGTCTTCTGGTTTGTGTTTTTTTTTTTTTTTTTTTAACTGCCATCATGTATTAGAGCCCAGTCTAGCATTTATCTGCAGGCAGTTTGTTAAACAAAGGAAGTAAAAGCTCCCCTGTGTGTGACTACTGTCATTTTTTTTCATACGCATACATATTTTATATAACAAAAATGGAAGAAGTGCCTTTAGAATAAGGATGTAACTACTGCTAGCTCTAGGTACAGAGGAAAAATAGTGGGGTTTAGGGGCAACTGCGTTTTGACTGGGGCCATGTCAAAGTCTAAGTTGTAGCGTCCTTTTCTTCCTATTCTTCAAAAGGAACAAGCAGAGGAGAAGGATTTTACTGACCTGTGCCAACACTTGGAAGCTGGGTGGCAGAAGAGTTTGATATGAAATCCACAGCTCAGTGCCATGTTTCTCTATTTCTGGCTAACCCTAATGGTTGTAGTTAACACAGACTATCCTAACTTGGACGGGACTCATTGGGTCGCATTGGAGTTCAGGGCTCATGGTTTCACGCTGCACAGCTGCCTGTGGAAATACACAAATGTTTGCTATTTTTCTAGCAGTGAAAGCACGACTGTTAGAAACACCCAATGGTTTGTCTGAGGTAAATGCTGTGTGAGAACCAACCCAAACGTGACCAAAGTTCCACACAGCCATGCTTTTTCAGCTGTTGCAGCCACCCTCACAGGTGCTATTTTTAAAAACTTAACTCTTAATGCAGAGCATCTCTTAGTGACAATGTATGATTCAAAAATCTCAATAACTCCATAGAAAAGAAAAAAAACCCCATTGCAACCATTCATTCTCCAAAGTGAGCCTGCTCACTGAGGCGCTGGGATTGTTTTGGAGCTCCCTCAGCCTGCTTTTGCAAATATTTCTCCAGGTTCCCATCGAGGGCTAGCCAAGCCTAAATCCGCTCCTTTGGCTTGTAAAAAAGGACTTTGGAGGCTGTAGCTTCATACGCGGGTTTCTGAAAGCCCGCTGTACAGCCGCTCCCCCCTCACGGCACTTCCCGCCCAGCGGGAGGCGGGCCCCGGGAGGCTCCAAGCGGCGGGAGGGAGGCACGGGGCTGACAGCCGTTCCTGCAGCGGGCCGGTAGCCAGCGTTGGTGTGCAGCCTGTGAGGTGAAAAAAATAATAAAAAAGAAATAGGTGGGGAAAAAAAGAAAATATACGGGGGAAAAAAAACCTTATCGACGAGGATGGGATTCGAACCCACGCGTGCAGAGCACAATGGATTAGCAGTCCATCGCCTTAACCACTCGGCCACCTCGTCACGGGAACTTATTTTCTCGCAGAGCCTATAAGAAACTGCGGCAATGGTTCCTGGCATCGTCTCCCATTCACTTCGCTCTGCGAAATGGCGCCCGCCGTCCTTTCGTGGGAAGAAGGCAGAGTGAGGTGACAGCTCAAAACAGAACGGCTTCGCCCCGGCTGGGTGCTGCTGAGTCGCCAGCCTCACTGCACCGAGTGCGGTGGACACCAGTGAAGGCTAACGGCTAAATGGCAAGCAGCGAGCTGACAGCGCGGAGGCCGCCATGTTGTACGGAGCGCTGGGGGGCGCAATGCTGTACGGCGCTGCCTCCAGGACGGCAGTTTGGCGCGGCGCGCAAGCGCGGCGGTTAGATTCGAATTGCAAGGCGGCAGTGGCGGCTCAGCCCCATGGGCGCTGAGGGGCCGGGAGTCAGCGGCGGAGAGCGGCCGTGAGTGGTGAGTGAGAGCGGCTGGGCAGCGGGGGAAAGGCGTGAAGAAGCCGGGGGGAGCTCAGGACTGCCTAAAGTGGGAGCCGTTGGGGCGAGATGGAGAGGGTTGAGGAGATCTGGGCGCGCTCGGAGCTGGGGCGGCCTCGCTGGAGACGGAGGGAGCCTCGCTAAAACCGCCCGAAGGATGGGTGGGGTCGTGGCCAGCCCCGGTGGGTTCACGCTGATGTAAGCGGTAGTGGAGTGGCAGTTGGAATCGCTCTGGGATTGTCAACCTTCTCCTCAGTGGCAGAGGGAGGAGAAAAGCAATTGTGGCCCTGTGGGATGTCCACCTGGATCGCAGGCCTCACGGCAGCAGGCCCTGAAAGCCAGGGCTCCCTGGTCTTCTGATGTGAACCTAGTACCTCTTTTGTGCTGATTACCATGCAAAAATAAAACAAGGAGTGAATAAACTTGCTTTCAACAAATCAGCTTTCTGTGTACCAGTCAAATGTCACTATGGGAGGCCTTTCTCTTACTCTTATTTATTACACTTTCACACTTATGCTGTCTTCAGAATACTGTTTGTTTTCCTGTTTACGTGAACAGAAGTTTGCTGGGAAAGCAATCCTTTAGTTAAGTGTGCCTTTGAGCAAACTGGCATTTCTGAAAAAATAGATTTGTTGAACCAATGAGGTTGGAGAAGACACCTAATAACACCAAGTCCAACCACCAACCCACTCCCACTATGCCCAATGACCACATTCTTCAGTGCCACAACTCTATATTTCTTGAATACCCACACGGATGGTGATTCTTCCACCACCCTGGGCAGCCTGTGCTAGTGCCTCACCACTGTTTCTGAGAAGGAATGTTTCCTAATATCCAACTGAAACCTCCTCTGATGCAATATGAGGCCATCACCTCTTGTCCTGTCACTGTTAATGAGAAGAGTCTGACCTCCACTTTTCCGCAGCATAGCATTTTATGTGATTCAGTGTTTTGCTAAATCTAGTGCTCTTTTTCCCTACATAAAGCTTAGTTTTGGCTTTGGAAATGAGAGTTGTCGGTCTTTGGTTTGAATGCTGCTGATGCAGAAGTGACTGTCTTGATGGAAAGCAAAGGGTGTTTATTACTGGGAGAATTTACCAATATTTATAAATACCTGACAGGAGAGTTTAAAGGAGCCAGACTTCTCTTAGCTTTGAAGAGACAAAGGGCAATGGGCACAAACTGGGCTACCAGAAATTTCACTTAAGCATGAGAAAAAAATGTAGCAAAGGTGGAACAGAAGAGTGGTTGAGTCTCCATCTTAGGAGACACTGAAAACTGGAGTAGGTAAGCTGTAGTTTTGAGCACACTGTTGGGCTGGATCATCTCCTAAGAGCTCTTTCTACCACCTCTGTGATTCTATGAAATGCAAAAGCTGGGCTGTTCTGTGCAGATCTCTCTATTGTAAAATATATATATATATATTTACAGTTAACTTAATGCTTCCTTAATTAAGGGTTTTTCTGAAGAAGGAAGGCCAGTGATGTCTTGGGCTCCATCAGAAGAGGGGTGGCCAGCAGGGGCAGGGAGGTGATTGTCTCTCTTACTCTGCCCTTGAGAAGCCCCATCTGGAGTACTGTGTCCAGGTGTGGGGCACCCAGTATGGGAGAGATGTGGAACTGCTGGAGATGGTCCAGAGGAGAGCCACAAAGATGATCAGAGAACTGGCGCACCTTCTCTGTGAAGACTGGCTGAGGGAGCTGGGCTTGTTCAGCCTGGAGAAGGCAGCAAGGACACCTCATTACAGCTTTCCGGTATTTAAAAGGGGATTATAAATAGGAGGGGAATCAGCTTTTTACAAGGGCAGAAAGTGATAGGACAAGGGGGAATGGTTTTAAGCTCAAGGAGGGAAGGTTTAGATTGGATGTCAGGGGGAAATTCTTTACATAGAGAGTGAAGAGGTGCTGGAACAGGCTGCTCAGAGAGGTTGTGGATACTTTGTCCCTGCAGGTGTTCAAAACCAGGTTGGATAGGATCTTGGAAGCACTGCAGTATGTATCAGAGCAAACTTTGTATTGTAGAAGCCTTGGTCGTATTTACCACCAATTACCATAATTTTAATTTTAAACAGAAGGATGCCTGGACAATAGCACTCATACTGTTGGCACAGTTGATTTATAATATGATATACAATAGGCTTATACAATAGACTTATAATATACAATAAACATAGACTTGAGAGGCCTATTAAACATCAGTGAATTCCTGTCACTAAAGAGAGAAATTATACCAACTTACTGAGGCTAGTATCTGGGTTGTATGTAACGTTCTTACTGTCATTCATTAATATTTTTGGATTTCAGTACTGTATTTTATAGGAGAAACACTTCTTGCAGAAATGGACAAAATTTATGTGGACTCTAACGTGGAGAAGTAAGTTGAAACTTCATAAGGATCTTATTGTCATTTAACTATAATCTTTTTGATGAAAAATGTTTCTTGAAGTGTACTTCAGCATTTAATGAATGAAAAGCTGTCCATCATGAAGAACTGCAAGTTTATTTGATCTGTGTAGGAAAGCTTGAGGAAATTTTATAGTAGTGGATTGTCTGGAGACTGTCCACGGGAACTGGAGCAGAATATGCTGAATTTTACAAGGCTTATTTCTGGAACTTAGTGCTGAAATGATCTGTTCCAAGCAAGCTTCTTTATGTAATATTGCAATTGTAAAAATAAAGGAGAATTTGAATTATTAACCTAGAATTTTGGCAGCTCTGTTCAAGAAATACATCTTGGTCTAGTTTGTGCATTAATATCTGTTTCTCTCTGTCTCCCTCCAGCGATAACACAGAGCATATCAGAGGAAAACGACTGTCCTCTGTGAGTAACTTAGGGTGTTCCTAAAGTGAGTGAGTGAGAGAGTGAATGAAGAAAGGGAAGCTGTAAAGAGAAATTGGTTTTCTCATCACAGCCTGAAGGAAAAAAAAACAAAATCTAACGAAGACCCTATTAGATTTGTGATTGAAAGTTATGCTGGTGTTCATAGAAATATTCTACATCCAAGTAATCAGTTCACATAGCCTCCTGAAGAAGCAGTTCATTGCTGAATACATTACTGTTGACATGAGCAACATGACAGAAGGTCATGAAATTTCCACAAAAAGATTTGCAAGTGAAACCATGGATTTATCAGGTAATTTTCTGAGTGGAAGTGAATGCATTTAATATTCAGAAGACAGTTCACCCACTCTCTTCTCAAAATAAATACTTAAATATGTTGTTCAGAAATGAAAACTGTGTGAGCTATGTCCATGGTTATGAATTCAGAATTTTTGCAAATTCTTTGGTCAACTATATATCAGTTGTTTTTCTAAGTCTTTCAATTTATTTTATACATCTTTTTATGTCTGAATTTCCTTTCTAAATCTTAATTACAATTGGAGATTTATATGCTTATTTGAAGTTTATTTACTTAGGATTGTTTTATTTCCAAATTAATTCCCAAAGATGTGAAGCATTAACTGTGGAATGTTAAGACAGAGAATAAATTGGCTGCATATTTCAGTAAGACCTACCTATGTACATTTTCTTCTATAAAAGGTATTAAACTATGCTTCTACCTGCTTTTTTCAGTCCTGCTGCACTTATTTCACAACACAAGATCCAACATCGTGCCTTTATCTCTCTTGTTTTTCCATTATTATCTTGTGTTGCCTGAGACCTCTGCCCTGTTAATTCATTCACCAGGCAATCTCTTCATCTTATACAAAGTGCTTAGCGGGGTGTTCATAGCTTAAGACTGCTCCTGCAGTCTCATAAAGATGTATACCTCCAACTGAATTCCTGTATGTAGTGCTGTGGTGAGAAGCAGGGTCAGAGTCTGGTCCAAATGCCCAATCGAGTGAATTGTAGGTTCTGTAGGGTAATTCAAGGTAGTTTGATTGTGTGTAAGTGATGCCTTGAACTGCTTGTACACCAGCTGTGATTAAACCTCTCATTTACTTGTTGCTTCATCCTTTTGTAGTAGTGAGGGCTAATTTTCTCAACTACTATACTTTCTTTTAGATACTAAAGGCTCCACGAAATCCTCTTGATGATCTAGGAAATGGGAATGAACTCACTCAGGTACATCTATTCAGTCCTCTTTTGCTGACGTTAAGATCTTCAGTTTGCTCCTCAATTTATTCTTGATCAAACTTTCACTAGAATGACATAGATGTAAAAAGTCCTGCAATAACTGCTGTGGAGGGTGATGTTAGGAGTAATAAGTATTACAATAAATCCATTCAATTTTTTTTTTTATTTTACATCAGAATATTTATTCTGTCAAGTGGGGTGAAATAACCAGAAATTATTAGGTAGAACTCGCTTCTGCTATAGTCTTCTTGACTTGAAGTTTGATCTGTTAGAACAATAACTGGTAAAATCAGTGAGGTGAGATCTCTTGAGACCACTGCTGCAGTGCTGTAGTTTTTCAATTCTTGGGACAGAAAACAAAATAAATCCTGCAACTCTCATACTAAACAATGTGGCATTTTTTCCATAGTTCATCACATATTAATCCAAGCAAAAAGCTTGTAAGCTGGTATTCTGCTGCTTCTGTCTAACCAAGCAGTTAGCACGCCTCTTGTGAGGTGGGTGTCTCTGTGTAAAGAGGAGGGAAACTGGAGAACTGTAAGTTGTTTAAGGATGTTGGCAAATAACCATTGTATTTGTTAGGCCTTAAGTGTCCAACCCTTTGGCTTGCATTAACTGCAATGAGTGAAGAATTGTCTTGGGCTACATGTATGTAAGTTGCTCTGAAAGTAATGCCTCCCATTTATTTCCATGGAAACTACAGTAGGAACAAAGAGCACAATAACACTATTTGGTGGAGCAAATTCTCAGCTACAAAAACACTGTTTTTCATCATAGCCACCACCATTAGCTGTGCATTTTTGCCAGCAATGAATGAGAACTGCATGTTGTGTTTGTAAAAATCAAACAAAACACCGGCATCAGCACAAGTGACCCACTCTGTTGCCACTGCTAAAACACACCAGCCGAAGCCTCTCTGTGGTCACAACCACTGTTGGATATCCCATGAACATTCAGTAAGCATCAATGGATGTTGACAGATGCCATGAAAGTCTGATAAAGAAATATGATCAGATTTTTGAGTAGAATGTCTGATTACAACACTAGACATTCCTTTTGAAAATTTGCAGGTAATGTTTATATCAACTGAAAAAGTAGTTGCTCACATAATTTTTTTTTTTTTTTTGGCCATCTTAAAACATATTCTCAAATTTCTTTATCAAAACAGAAAGCAAGGCTGCATATTCTGTGCTGTTCAGAGCATTGCGTTTAGCCACTGTATCAAAATGCACACAATTATTTGCTGTCTCTTGAGTCAGTGTTGCACAGCAATGCTCTTCCCCTTCCCTGGTTTCAATCAGCGCAGTGTTAATAGCACACAGAGGATTGGTTTGTTACTGGGCGATGGGTGTGTACCAGGGGGCCGCTTGTGCTGAAGAGCTGTTTCCTTTATAGCGTTGGGGCAGATGATGGGCCACATGCAGGTCATGAGTTGGACATGCTTGTGTTAGGTTACTTGATTTTTTTTTTAATTTCAGATTGTTGTTGAGAATCTGTATTATTCTGACTTATGGTATAAGAATTGTTCTCTATAATCAAACTGTCATGTTCTTTATTGACAGGATCTCAACATAGAAAAACGTAGGAAAAGTTCCCGACGTGTCAGCTTTGCCGACACCATAAAGTAAGTTTGATCTGAAGGATGCAGATCTGCATCTTTCATTTAAGAATAAGACTAAAGACAGTAATCTGCCATCACCTAAAACTGCTGTTTGCATACCTTTGTGCGCATTCAGTATAGAAAATTAGTGACTGTTTTTTTACTGAGTTGATACTGAGCCTTAAGAGAGCAATTATTCATTTTTTCTTCCTAGCTAGAAAAAAATGGTTGGTTGACTTTCATATATTCAGGAAATTCTACTTTTCATTAACCTTATGGAAAGTGTGGCTGGATTCAATCAGCTAATGTCTAGATTTCAGAAGGTACCATGTGGGAAAAGATTAAAATTAGAGCTGATTTAAAGAAAAGAACAAACAAACAACAAAAACTAAAAAACTTTTTTTCCTGTGCATCAAAACTGATGGTCTTGTTTTCAAAAACTCTTTTTTGTTCTTAGCTGCAGGGTCTTCCATCGAGATCTTAAGAATAATGCAGCAGAAAGAGAAAATGAAGGTAAAACTCCTTTCATTTCGGATGAATTTCCCAGACTTAGCAACAAGATTACAGCCCAGAATTTAGGTATTCAGGCTTGTCAGTCACAGATAGGGAACAATATGGTCTGCTGTTTATAATGGACAGGATAACAACCCATTGGTTACTAGCATTGTTGGACCTGTTAGCTCAGAGAAGGAATTACTCTATTTTTAGACAACAGGCAGCTAGAATAAAATCTGCTTCAGTGATTTAGATTAAAAGAAGGCTGTGAAGAATGTCACATGAAGAATGTCAAAGATTACCTAGTAAAAATCTGAAAAGCTAATGCATTTTCAAGTACTTTGCTTGCCTGGGTTTTTGACACGATAAAAAGGAACGTCAAGGGTGAGAGCTTCAGAACATTCTATTCTATTAAGTTTACTTTTGTCTCTCAATGTTTTGATCCCATTTCTCACTTTAATATGTTTAATTTTCATATTTTTAGCAGAAGATACGGAAAATCATGTCCTGCTTAATCAGTAAGTATGTGGAAAAATGTTCCACAAATCCTCTGTCCTGCGAATACATCTCTTCACGTGGCATGAAACCATCAGAAATCAGTCCTCAAAGAAACAGACAAATGCAGTGTGCTTATTTAGATATAAAATTGCTCAGTGCTTTTGTCTGGTTAAAGAAGTTGTATAAGAAGGATATGGCCGTTTTGGCCATTCATGTAGAGATTTCTGAGAATTTGAATTGTGTCTTGAAACTGCTTCTGTTCCAGGCCAATTGCTTGGGAATATCTCTCAGGAGAGACCTATCAGAGTCCACAATTCATAGACATCTTTTTGGATATTTATTACTGTAATTCTTCACTCAAAGGTGGATAGTGTTGTCTGATATCAAAGTTATTATCTAGATAAAATAAAATTATGAGATTTTGAAAGTTATATTGACTTAATAACACATTTAGACTGTGCATGAAGGAAAATTTCTTATTTAAAACCTACAGCAAGGAAACAGCTTACTTGTAGTTAACAAATGCTTTTGAAGTTTTCAAAGCAGTATAGTTACATATGTGAACATGTGTGTAAATAAAAATCAATATTCTAGCTCAGGTTTCTTGATCTTGACATAACAGTCAAGAAAACACTGAAGAGCAGAAGGTATTAAGTGTTAGACAAAAAGCCAACAAGTTTGTTGTTGTGCCTGGCTTTTGGTTTTACGGAGAAATGATTTCAGGTTTTAGGGGCACAACTTCCCTTTTTCAAAGAGAAAGGGATGACTGAAAGTGGAAGGTCTGAGTTAAATATGAAGTATTAATCTTGTCTCTTTTATTCTTTTTTTTTTCCTTTTTACTTGTCACTGAGAAATTAGAATGCCAACTGTATGGTGGCTTGTGGCGTGCTTGGAAATAAGAATCTCATGGAGGAGTAGTGTTTTAACTCAGGATACATTGAAAGCATATTTGTTATGTCTGATATCTGCTGCCCAGTCATGTATGAGCTATGCAACATAATTCTCTGCTTTTTAAGTTTATTGTTGAAACCACCCGTTTTACTATTTTTTTTTAACGTACTTTTACCTAAATCACCTTTTGTAGAAATGAAGAACCTGAAGCTGTTCCATGTGAGATTACTGGTGAGTTTAAAAATAAATTTAATAGGAAAATAGCTACTTTTATTCCAGACTATTGATTAATTGTTAGTAGAATAATTTTAATATACCTAGAACAGTCTCCCTGTTGAAGATCACTATTGCTTTATAGGGCTTTGCTCCATAAGGCTGTTTACAAGCGTAATATTTTGGAAGTAAGAATAGACATACTACATGTTCAGAGCAGTACTGAAAATATTTCTCAGGTTGTATTTGGCTTTAATAGCACTCGCAAAGCGACACTTGTATGATGAGTACACAGATCTTCAATTCAGTTGATTAAAATAATAAATAGATTAGCAAACACAGTATTTGCTTTTCTTTTAACAGGGATGAACACTTTGCTTCATGCCCCTATCCAGTCATCAGTGCAGCAGACTGAGGTATGTGAATTTTATTTCTTCAGTGCTGAAAATACACACAAATATAGTGTCCAAAGTATGTTACAATAATTTGTGTAGTTGAGATGAAAGATGTACTACAGCTGTCTAAAAAATAAATCCTTGAATTCACATAAAATTCATCTGAAGCATAATCTGTATTTTGAAGTATTTTCCCAATCTGATGGGCATTATACTACACTATTGATAACTTCTGTTTCTAAAATCACTAGGTATATTTCAATACCTGAGCTAATTCTTACATTCTTTTCACACCTTATCTAAGAATATGTAAAGGAGCTTATGTTTCAGATAGGTCTGATTATAAATATTTTTCATATATTTCTCTCTGCTTAAAGTTTTTTTTCCTTCCTTGAGTAGTATACACAAACACACTGTCTTTTTCCCACTGTTAAAAAACTTTAGAAAAATTGCAGTGAGTGACACAAAAAGGCATCTGAAATTCTTCATCTGACTGAAGTGATAACAGAAAATGTCTAGTGAAGACATTCAGAGGCACAAAGATCCTGAGTTGTGTTATACGTTATTGTTGGTGTCATGGCACTATTGAACAGTTTTCCTTAGTGCAATGGCTTCTGACTTTCATGCTTAATTTAAATTTAAGTAAATGTCTTCTCTCTTGTGAAAGAATGCTTATATAAAAAAAAAAAGTGATTAAAGTCTAGTTTTGATTAAAAGATGTGTACCATGAGCCTATAAGGGTCGTAGTTAGGTAATGCATATGGTTGTGCTTTTTCTAGTATATTTTATTTCTTGCACTTATAAAATACCATATGTAATTTTAAATAAATATGAAGTTGTTCTTAATATATATATCCATTATGTTTGATGAAACACAGTATAACCTTTCTACTGGCCAGTTTTTGTCCACAGCTTTAAAATTGTAAATCTTTTCTATTAAGGAGACTAAAATCATAGTCAGGGTGGAAGTCTTATAAAAAAAAATTCCAACTTGGTGCTGCTGCTCTGGGAAATGTGCATGATAAACTGGACAGGGGTTTTATTTGCAGTTGACCAGGAGGAAAAGGACAGAAACCACATCGTAGAGTGATAGAAAATATTGATTGAAAAGGCTCAGTTCCATGCTCAGAAGAATTTCATGTGTCTAAATAGGAAATTTTGTCCAACAGAAAGCTGAGATGCATTGTTTCAAGAAATGCCATTTAAAATATGTAAAAATATATAAAATATGGGCTCTAATAATTTGTAGTGAAGTTGTCCTCCTTTTCTTACATGTGTTATTACTTGCTGAGAAGGACTAAAATCTTTTTTTATTCAAAAAACAACAAATGACAAAACAAAGCAAAACAAAAAACTGTAGAGATAGAACCGTAGTCTCACAACTGTATTAGTTTATTTTTGTTTTAAATAGAGTAAGCTGTTATGTCATTTGTTGCAAGCGCCAGTAGCAACCAGTAGCTGTCATTTGTTGTCTTTTTTCAGTGCCATGATGTGGACAATGCTATTCCGAGAACAGATAGGCCTGATACAACACTCATCTTCTCAGACGAAAATGAAATGGATATGACAACTAGTCACACTGCAGTGATTGCACGTAACCTGAATAACAGTGAAACTGCCAAAACTGAAAAAATAGATATTGTATCATTTCTGGCCGAGTTAAACTCTATCAACAGAAAGGCAGAAAAAAGCAAAGATTTTCATTTTTCCTTTGCTGGAGACCGTTTTTGCCCATCTTTTGAACAGAAGGAAGATGCTGCTACAAGAAAGAAAATAAATTCTAATGATTTTTTTATGAACTCAAATGAAAAAGCACTTAATCCTATTGAAGGACCTGAAAAAGAGAATATTTTTTTTGTCCCTTCACAAGTTTCAGAAAACATGGCACAATCATCGTATGTATGTTCCCATGAACAGCTAGCCACCTGCAATGTAACAAAAATATTTGGAGAGCAAGATGATGGAATGGAAATGACAAAATGCCAGGCATCTGATATTCAAAATATGCATTCTGGTCTTTGTGAGATTCCGACAGAGCAGTTACCATCTGCAGATGTTACTCAGGCATTTGCAGATGATGAAATGGATATGACAACTAATCACACTGCAAAAATGCATTTTCCCTTTGCCGTTGTAAGTAATCAAAATTTAAACTTCAAAAAGGATTTCTCGTCCTTGGAGCTAGATAACTACTCTGTCCTAAAGAGAACATCTCACAAGAAAGAGGAGACCAGAACACTGTCTTCCATCCCAGGATCAGTTTTTTCTGAGACTGTCTTCCGAGATGATAGAACTGTTGTTTTTTCTCAATGTGATGACATGAAAATTACTGGGAATTACAGAGATGTAGTCTATAATGCAAGTACCAAAGGAACGAACAGTTCATGTTATAAGGCTTTTGAAAAACCAGTTAGCAGAAATTTGTTGCTAGTAGAAAGAAGACATCCAATAAATAGTGACTATACAAGAAGTCTGTCTTTAGATGATAGAACTTCTCTTTCACATAAGAATAGTGCACGTGAACTATCTTCAGGCTCGGATGGACAAAATGAAAGAGTAATCCAAGATCACAGTACTGCTTCATTGAACGCTGGTTTCAATTCATGTTCAAATTCAGTGTCTACTGGTTCCTCTAAGGGTAGGCTTCAGGACAGACTAACAAACTCCCTACTTGTTTCACAAGGTGAGAAAACTGCAATATTTTCAAGAACAGATGTGGACTTGACTAAAAATTGTGTTGGCAAGGGTGATAGAAGGGATATTGAAAGTGAATCCCCTGGAATGTCCAGCTCTATCACTAGCAAACCGCTTTTTCTTGATATTAGGTCTGTATCTTCCAATTTAAGGGAGCAGGAAAAAATGGAAATAACTAAATGTCATGCAGTTGTCAGTGGTGATCAAAGAATTGGGATAACCACAGAAGCAAAACAAATGAATTGTAAAATAATTCCAAGTAAGAACCAGAACAATAATTTTAGTGATGCTGCATGTCCTTTGGATAGGGACAAGGAAAATCTTGAGGCAATTGGTATTGATGTGAGTATTAGAAGAAGCCAGGCTATAGAAATGAGTGCTAAAGGTGTTGAGGTGGTAACAGTCAATAGGATGCTTGGAAAAACAGGCTTTCAGGCTAGTAGTCTGACTTCCTGTGCAAATAGCATGTGTTCATTCCAGGAGCAAAAGAGGAAAGTCTCTGAAAATACTGTCACTGACAAATACGCATTCATGTATTTGCAAAATGAAAAAGTTTCTGTATCTCAGCCTTTGGGAAATAAACTTATGAATTCTTCAGTTTCCTGCGCAAATGACAAAAGAGATGTGTTTTCAGATGATGAAAACATGGATATAACCAAAGCTCATTCTTTGGCTGTTACTCCTATTAATATAGAACAAGAAAATGATAATTCTCACGTTCAAAATAATGTAAAAGCCAAGCAGCTGCAAAACCAGACCTTCCAGTTTTCTGATAGTTCTGGCATAGATCATACGAGTCAAGCTGCTGCAATAGAACATGAAGATGTCAAAGTGAGCTCAAAGAAAGAAACTGTTGCTCATTTAGCTCCAAGTGGTTTCTTTGTTTCCAGTAATGAGCTTGCTCCCTCTGGAAATAAAAGAGACGCACAACCTGGAAAAATATTGGGAATAATCTCAGATTGCCAAGACACTGACAGGCATGAGAAAACGCATCCTATGATGGTAGTAAACAATGTATCATCAACTGCAGAAGATTTTGAGAGAAATTTTTTGATCAGTAAAACAGTTTCTTCAGAAAGGGGTTTTAATCATCCTCAGTCAGGTGATGACCTACGTTTGAGGGGTGTTGAAGAGAGGTCACTAGCCAGCAATTCTAAAGAACTTAGGGGAAGTTCCCAGTTGCCTTCCTTTTTGGAAAAGTCAGTTGTATTTCCCTCTGGTGAAAACATGGACTTGACTGAAAACTGTGCAGTAGTGGCTCCTGATCAAAACATCTGTACTCTTTTCCCAGGAAGAAAGGCAGCACAAGGACATATTGAAGATAAAAGTAAAATATCCTTAAAAAAAGAGGTAATGATGACAAACAATCAGGAGCAGCCTGAGTGTAATATGTACACCTTGGTATCTGATAAGAAAATGTTAACTGTGACTGGTATAAAGCATTTGCTTTCTGTAGATGAGAAAACTACCATCTTTTCAGAAGATGCTAATATGGACATCACTGGAAATCATACAGCTTCAGCAGACAAAACAATTTTGCAGCCTGAAACTTTGAACAATGACATACCCTTCATTTCTGAAGATAAAACTTCTGTTTTTACAAAAAACAATGACATGGAAATAAGTAGGCTTGATTCTGTTGCAGCTGATAACTCTATGGAAAAGGCTGCATTTCAAGGGATACTTAGCAGAACTAATGGAACTAGAAGGAAAAGCTTGAAGGGAACAATAGGGGAAAAGACTGTTTTATTTTCACTGAGTGAGAATAATGACATGAACATCACAGAGGGACTTACAGCAGCAATAAGCCATGAAATTGTCTCACGAAATGAGGTAGGGCTTCCTTCTCCATCTTCAGTTCGTCCTGTTACAACTGTTACATTCACAAGTAACCAGGCTGAAACAGACATTAAGTCTTGCTCTGCTAATAAAATTACTGTAAAAGTTCCATGTGATGATGCGTTGATCTCGGATAAAATTGTTGGACAGGAAGTTCCTTCAAACAGAGAAGCTACTACGTTTGCTATGGATGATATGGAAATCACTAAAGCCCATAATGTATCTTTAAAAGAAAATCTGCAAATTAGTCAACCCAATCAATCTGTTCCTTTCACTTCCTCAGTTATGTTTACAAGTGACTCGGCTGACATGGAGATAACTGAGTATCACCCTGTGGATGGGAGATTTGAAAGGGATTTATGTGAGAATAGATTAAATCTGCCCACACAGGTTGTACAGGAGGCTCTTTCAGGTAGCAAAACAGTCATTTTTCCTTTGGCTGAGAATATGGACATTACTAAAACTCATGATGTATTAAGTGGTAAGATCGGTGTATGGAATGGAAGGTCCATTCCAGCCATTTCTGCAGTTCCTGCTGATAAGACCATTGTTTTTTGCCACAGCCAAGATGATATGGAAATAACTTCATCAAATACTATTGCTGTTAATAACAATACTGAAGGATCTGAGAATCAAGAAGCGTCACATAAAAGCACTCAACAACCAGACTTGCATAGTGCGTCATCATCCTCTTGCAGAGATGAAATGGATTCTCTGCAAATAAAAGACCTGAATGGCGGGGATCATAAAATATCTAATACTAAGCCCTCAATTCCTTCTGCTTCATCCCCCTCAGCGTCACCTACTGAGAAAGGACCTATCAAAGTCCACAATACCAGATCTGGCACAATACCAGATTCCACTTATTCTGTCTCGATTCCAAAAGATGCTTTGGATGTCCAGGCTCTACAGGATCTTGACCTTTCCACAGAAAATTCAATTCCTATAAACAATGAGCAGGATATTTTACATCCAGGAGCAATGAAATCAAGGAGAGTGTCTTTAAAGCTGCGAGGTAATGACCCCTTGGACTGCAGTGAAGAAAGCGAAGTTGTAGTATCCCATGTTTTTCTTCCTGCTCAGCACTCAGATTCTTTGGAGGGTCCTCCAGGTGCACTTAGTACTCAGAGAAATCAAGTATTGAAAGATGATTCATCTAGACATGAAGATCTAGCTACAGATTTAGCTGTGGATGGAGCAGGCATTGTTCCAGTTTCTATCAAAGAATCGGAGGAAAATGTGCTGTCAGCTGAAGGAGAGGCAACAGAATTCCAAATAAACTCTAAACAAACTAAGCATCTTTCAGCTAGTGATAGTCTGAGAGACCCAATAGATCTTGTGCCTAAATTATCAGATATTTTAAATATTTGTTCAAAACTGGAAAATATTAGAAGGAAATCTGTAGTTGTTTCTGAAACTGTTCTTTCTGACCACTTGCTGAAGTTACCAACTCAGCCAGAGGATACCTTGAGGTTAGGAAAAAATAGCATAAATGAACAAAGATTATGTTATGCCAAAGAGCAAGAAAATGCATGTCTTGAATCTGGAACTGCTCCCATAGATGCAGATGTAGGTGTGGCACTTACGGACAAGTATAAAAGAAGTGTCTCTCTAGGTATCTTTCAGCCTAAACTACCGAACAGAAAAAATCCTTCTGTTTCTAGTGTGCAAGACATAAATGTGAAATCTTCAGGCAAAGTAGAATCACCAGTTCCAGAAGTAAATCTGAACACCATTAAAGCTCCAGGTTATGATAACTCTAGTAGGCAGAACTTCAGCCCTTCTCAGTTTATAGCAGAAGAATTTCTTCCTGTCTGCCCAGAAGAAATGGATTCAAATGATTCTGTAAGCTCTGAATTTGTGGAAGAAGCTTGCAATAACGGAAACCAAAGAGAAATCTCCCACAATGAAAAGATTCAAGTTGAAGAGACAAAAAGTTGCAACAACGCAAAAAGAGCTTTGAAATATGTTGAGGAGGATCTTCAAAGTCTAAAGAAGCTCAAGATGGATGAAATCGTGGTTGATGGGACTTCCCAAGACTTACAGGTAAGTCTGATCATTCATTACTGGGATGTGCTTAACAGTAACAGCACTTTTATTTGTATGCTCAGGTGTGTATAGATCTGTTGGTAGGGTTTTTTGTTGCTCTTTATCACCAGTTTACTCTAATTTTGCAATGCCTTCCCCAGTATTTCTCATTGTTTTGTGAAACTGGAATGATGAGATCAATGTGTGCAGTTTTCCTGATCCATGACAAGCATTAAGGGCAATGTCAATTTTTAATCACTCCATAGAATTCTATCAAGCCTTTCTCAAATAAGTATTCTTAGTCATCTGTACTAAACTACAGCATGAGTTGCTATGGGATCGAGAAGATCTGAACAAATATGGAATGCCTATCTGAGCTTAAGAATTAGTTTGTGCATCATCATTAGAAACATTTTAGCTCTGAAAACTGCAAGAGTGGGCTGTGCTGGCTACTGCTTTGATTGAAAAACAAATGAAGGATTTTGGAACATCATTTCCTATATGCCGTGGTAAGAAATAGCTTGAGTAGTCATATGCTGGTTTTTCCTGCTGATTAAGTGTGAAATGGGCAGATATCAAAAATAATTCAATTCTGGATGTCAAGAAATGGCTACAAAAACCACTAATTGAATTATTCTTGCATTATTTCATAGAACTTTTCTGATTTCCTTTTTTTTTTTTTTTTAAACATGCTAATACTAGGTTACTTATGGCCCTGTACCTGAAAGCCACATGGAAGTTGTTGAAAGTGAAGTTTCTCCAAATCTATCAGCTAAAAACTCTGACTGTACTCATGCCAACAGCAGCAGCTCTGTAGATTCTGTTAAGGCTGACACAGAATTAACAAGTAAGGCTTCCTTTGTGGTAATTATCTCAATTTTTTGTATATTTTTGGCTTAATTAAAGACTAGCCCTACCCTTAATACATACCTCACTTGGAAAAGGTGTTGAATGCCTGCTTTGCAGTTTCCTGTCCAGCTTGTCAACGTGTTTTTTCACTGTGGCTAAAAGGCCAAGCAAACTGAGAAAATGAGAAAAGTTGCAGAGTTCAAGTTTTTTGTTTTTGTGGCCAGGTTGTAAACAGTTTATTTTTCATAGTACAGAGGAAATCCCCAACTCCTACTATTCTAGCCCAAAGATTGTTTTAAGCTGGTTCCATGCAAAGCCTGCATGTCTCAGAACTGCACTCATAGAATAAGATTCCTTAGAGTGCTGCAGAGGCATCCACCTGGCTTTTGGCAGATTCAGCTTCTTGGTTTATTAGCTCTCACTAATTAGCTGGTACCTAATAACAAGGGAGAAATCTGCCAGTCAGGTAAGTGATGTTTTGCTTCTGTTTACAAAACCAATTCCAACTTTGCCCAATGCAACCATGAAAGATGATGTCTTATCCAGTGGAAGCTGGACTCTTTCCTTTGAGTGATAAACTAGGTTGTCTTGGCTCAGAATTTGAAAGCCGAGGTCATCTTCAAAGTTGCTCAGCTCAGATACTCTTTAGTCCGTGCTAACCCTAGGATGCTCTCCATATGTTTGTTGGGGGCTGTTTTTCAGGTTTATTACCTTTTATTATGATACATGTGGCTTTCCTACCATGGAAAAATGACCTGTCATTTCATTACCACTGATTTTTATTTCACATTAGGCTTTCAACCTGTTTCATACTATTTGCCACTGATTTCATTCAGCATTGAAAACTTATGAAGGTTAAACTCTACAATAGTCGCTTTTCTTTTAGAACCAATTAACTAGGGTTCATATTTCTGTAATAATATTTTTAACCCCCACCATGTTGTTATTTATTTATTTCTGTATTTTGCCTAGTTCGACGAAGCAGTCAAATGGAGTCGCAGCTTCTCACAGATAGCATTTGTGAAGATAATTTGTGGGAGGTACGTATATAGCTGAGAGATGCCAACTTTTTTGTAACAGGAAAAATACTTGTGTGGATATATATCAGTAAACATTTTTTCTTGAAGAATGCTCTTACCTGCATGATTTTCCTAACTTTGCAGAAATTTCAGAGTGGTGTCATCACAGTTGGGGAGTTTTTTACTCTTCTTCAAGTTCATGTTCCAATTCAGAAGCCCCGGCAGAGTCATATTCCAGCCAGCGTGAGTATCTGTCCTTTGATATACTTGAAACTGACTTTACATTATGTTTGTCTTCATTTCAAAGTGCTCTATATTAAAGGCCTCTGAGTAGTTCCAGACAGAAGTCAGTTCCACCTTGACCAGCATTAAGCACCACATGCTTCCACTTTCTCTTTGCTAGTTCACTGCTAATTGATGTTTTTTTTTTCCTCAGTATTGAAAAATAGAATAGATTTCAGTCTCTTACAAAATGAAATGTGTTAGTTTGTGGTTGGATAAATAAGCTAATCCTTGTTTTCTGAGCTTGTTTAAAGAGCGACATGCTTGGAAGAATTAGAAGCTCTATCTAACTTATTCACTTTATCTTCTTACTATATCAGTCGTCCACTGAAATCAGAATGATGTCTGAAAGCATTGTGAGATATGTGCAAAAAACCTCCTACCTTTAATTATGGCACCGAGAAACCTGATTTATTCTTAGCTCTACAATGGCTTTGTTCATTTAGCAAATGGGTTGCTTCTGTCAATTACAACTGCAGCAAGGCCCTTTCTTCAATCTATTTTTATTCTATGCCTGGAAATAAGCTCCACCATTTACCTCTTGTGAGAGGAGGGGAAGGAGGGGGAAGGAAAGGGGGAAAAACTGTCCAAACTGAAATGCTAAAATAACTGCTTAATTTTATTGCATCTGCTTTCCAATGTTTCTTTCAGCAGCTCCAATTCCTTCTTACAGGCTGATTCTTTCTTACATAGTCTAGTTCTTGCTTTCCCTTTCTATAGCCACTTCCTGCAGCACAATAGAGAAATTTACAGGGGCAGTCAGCTTTGATGTGCAAATTGATAAGAAAGTTACTGAAGTGGATTTCTTATATTCTCTTCTTAGTTTTGCATGAACACTATAATATGTGTGTACTGCAAATCAGAAAGTACTCAGAGTTTGAATATTTGCACTGATTTGACTTCTGGCTCTGCACTTTCAAAAGTGACTGGAAGGCATTCTCTTATTTTGTTTACTTTTAAATTAGAGGAAAAATATGTACCATTCCTTAAAATGATCATCTAATAAAACAGTGTGGATGAGCTGCTTAATTTTCTGTACTGACATGTTAAACCTTACAAGTTTTATGAGCAGAGAAAGTTTGTAACATGGCAATGGCATTTATTTAATAGAAAATATAGGGAATTAGCTCAAATATTTGCATTTCCTGTGGCTTACTGCAGTTTCTACTTGCACAACGAACAGTGTACTGAGGCAGTGGAAAAGCTTTAGCAGTGCCTGCATCACTGAGAAAGATGTGTTTGTTAACATACTCTTTAGATGGTAAGCGGTGCATTTGTGAAAATTCTTGTAAAATTTTTTTTAATACTTCATATTTAGTTATTTAGGCAGCTGTCTTTGTACAAGCAGACTGTTACAAGGTGTCACGTTGTCAGGGTAATAAGTCAGCAGGATAGCCACATTAGAAATTTAGATAACTTCCTGGAAATAAGGAACCCTATTCTACTAATTTACAAAAAAAAAAAAAAAAAAAAAAAAAAAAAAAAAAAAAAAAAAAAAGCTTTCTCTGAAGGGGTGAAATTCAGCTCAGTTATTTATGTGCTTTTGCATATAGGTAATTAGATGGAGAATCCCCAGTAAATCAAGTATGTCAGGCTACCTCCATTAAATTTATTTTCTGTTGTGCAAAAATGAAAATTTGTGCCCTTTTGTTGGCTTCAGCACATGAATGGATAAGAAACTATTTTCTCTAAAAAGTGTGCTGCTTCTTTTTCCTCTCTACTCACAATTTTCCTCTCTGTTTTTTTCCCAGTGTGCTGCCAGTGCTCCACCTACTCCAGAAGACCTGATTCTCAGCCAATATGTTTATCGTCCCAAGATGCGTATTTATGAAGAAGATTGCCAGGTTCTTTCTCAGATGATAGATGAGTATGTCTGTATTTTTTCAGCCATAGGCTAAATTAGTAGTTCTATTTTTCAGCTCTGTTGGCATGCAGAATGGCCTTGGGACAGTCAATACATTACCTACGGGGGAAAACAGAAAAAGGGTGGTTAACCTATTTAATGCTGGCAGCCAGTTTTATTACAGGTTTAGGTTTATAGCGAAGCCTCCTGGAGAGGAGCTGTGATAATGGATATAGTTATAGCTTGATTTTCCTCCGTTACTAATGAAGGGTTTCAGTTGCCTATCAGAAGAGTTAAAGGTTTTGAGTGATACAGAAAATGATCAAATACAGGAAGCGGAATCATAACTGATTACAATCTGTTGTTCCAATTTTCCAGTGTTTTTTATGCAGTCACCATGGTTTATTTCCTTACCTGAAGGTCACTTTTTGGTCTAATACATTATGCCATCTACAATTTCAGTTATAACAAGTTTTATGTTAAAATTCAAGTCTGTAGTAAGGTTTTTCCCAGCCCCAGTAGCAACATTTCCTATTCCTTCAGCTTCTTTGTCTGCTTGGTGTAGTTACAACAAGCCTTTCTTTCAATTATTATTTTTCCCCCTGTATTTCAGATTAAAACAGTATGTAAGTGTCCAGGATCAACCACTGGTGAATGTGAATAAGAGTTTATGGGAAGTAATGAGAACCTGCTCTGATGAAGAGGTAATATTGCATGACGAGATAACGTTCTTTACATAATGAAGTAAGCTCGAACTATGTGTTCAAATGTGTAACGGTAGGTAGAAGATACAAGGCAAAATTTTTCTGGATGAAAGACTACTGTAAGAAGTGGAATAATTTTTTACATGTCAGAGGAGTTAAGTTGCAGAGTCAATATAAAATAGATTAGACTGAATATGTTACTATAAAACAGAAAAACTGAAGTTGATAATACAGGTTAGTTCAGAGTAGAGAAACTTCAGAGGAGCCTAGGCAAGCAACACAATTTTGGAAGGAAAAAATGAACTACTCTTACTGTTGAGCCTCATTGGAGTTTCATTGGAGGAGCAGAATATTTCATTAACCTAAATGTTTATTTAGTTTGGAAAGGTATGTATGACAGTGCGAGACCTATAATGAATAGAAAATAGGTCATTTCAAAAAATCTCATACAGAATTCAGAGTGCAATAGTGGTGTCACAGGCCAAAGCAAAAGATTGTGAAGCCGGAGGGTATTTAAAGGAGAATGCTAATGACAGGGGGCACAAAAGACACCCTGAAGACATTTGCATTTAAAAAACAGAAGCATTATAAGAGTATTTTAGACAGAATTAAGGAAGAAGATCAAGACATTGTTTTCCATGCTTCTAAAGCCAAGAATAAAGGACTAGTCAATGAAAATAAAAATAAAATAATGAATAGTCAATGAAAAAAAAAGTCAATGAAAAAAAATAAAAATAAAACAATGAAAGACAGTATTTTTCATAATTCATAATTATATTTGTGTTACAGGGTATTACAGAGGTTAGGATATTAACTGGACTCAGGAAGAATGTACTCAGGAATAATAAAAGGCCTTAGGACCCTTAGCTAAGAATTACAAATTTGAAAGGTTTTTGAAAGCAAAGATCCACATTCTGGCTTTAGAATGATACCACCTAGTGGCGATGGATTGAAAACGTGGTACGAAAAAGCAATTTGTACATTTTGCATCTTTAGCTTAATAGTTGTCAGAGAAAATATTGTCTTACATAATCTGTAGCTATGTTCTATTCAAACAGGTGGCTTTGTTACCATTTCTTGTGGTTTAGGCACTGCCTGGACTTCTGCTATCATTTCAGTTATCCTCTTTAACAGTAAAGGAACAAGTGTTCTAAGTAAGTCTTGAACAGTTGAAAAGAGAGCCATCTGACATAATTAATAAACCTGCTCCTTTTATTATTTTTTTGTGAAAGTAAATCTTAAAAATCTAGTGCTTCTGCTTTCTGTGCTGTTCCCTCTTGGAAGATTGTGTTGAATCTTTGCTAAGGAAATTGCTTTATTAGTAGATTGTACTTGAATTAATTGAATTTAAGGCTGGACAATCTGAATTTCATTTGAAACATATGAAATACTGTTCCTAGAGAAATGGGATATTGCAGGGAGTGGGAGAAGAGAAGGGAGAGAGTCTAAAGACTAGACTGAAAAATTCTTTGTTTCACATTCTCATTCACTTTCCCTTCCATATTCTCTGTTCTTTGCAGCTAAAGAGCTTTGGAACAGAACTAAACAAAATGAAATCCTATTTCATCAAGGAAAGTAAAATCCTGGCTCACAATGAGAAAGAGGCATTATACAGCAAATTGCTGCAGAGTGCACAGGTAATCTGCCTCGAGGCTTCAGAGGTTCAAGTTTGAAAGAGGAAATTCTACCATATTTTATCTGTGCTTAAACTAACATAAAGTGGGACATCAAATGTGGGATTCTAACTAATGTAAGTCTGCTTACTCATCATGTTTTTCTTTTACCTATACGCAATTGTAAGACATTTCAGGACAGTGACATTTTCTTGCACTAACTTATAGGAATCTTCTGCCTAAGTGTTTTGGCAGTTAAAGTAATGGGAGTGAAAAACAGAAGTATTAAAGGAAATGCCATCAGAAATCACTTATTTATACTGTACTAATGTCTGTATTAGTAAATAACAAGGAAAAGCACAAGCAGTGCATTGTGATAGGTATCTAGAAATTTACTTAGTTATGTATCTCATACCTTCATTTAAAAAAGAAAAGGTAGGAAGATACACTGTCAAGTTTCTGGTACTTTCTTAAGCATGGCATCTGCCTTATTGTCAGTTATTCTGCCTCTTCATTCTAATGGCAGATTGTATCAGCTTCTTTAATTAGTCTATTAGTAAGCAAAGATCTAAATGGTGGTCCCAGAAGGCATTTGGTTTCTTTTAAAATGTTGCTGACCTGCGTAAGAATACACTGCAACGGAGCACAACTTTCTCACCTTAGGAACAATATGAAAAGCTCCAATCAAGAATAGCAAATATGGATGAATTGCTTAAGGAGGCAGAAAGTTGTCTTGCAGATCTGGAAGCAGGTATGTGTTCCCAAACAAGTGAGTGGTTCATTGATTTCTTGTCTGGTCCCTTTTCTTTTTCCTGTCAAGATGCTATCTAAATTGCTGTTTCAAGACTGTTCACTGGCCACCTGGAATTTTAAATGTCTTGAGTTGCAAGTATCTGTTAGAATCATAGAATCATAGAATTCTCAGGTGGGAAGGGACCTCAAGGATCATCAAGTCCAACTGCAGCCTAACCATAGTACCCTAACTCTAACAGCCCTCTGCTAAATCATATCTCCGAGCTCCATATCCAAACGACTCTTAAACACATCCAGGGATGGTGACTCAACCACCTCCCTGGGGAGCCTATTCCAATGTTTAATCACCCATTCTGTAAAGGAGTGTTTCCTAATGTCCAATCTAAACTTACCTTGGTGCAACTTGAAGCCATTTCCCCTCGTCTTGTTACCTGTCACCATGAGAAGAGACCTACCCCGCTCTCACTGTAAGCACCTTTCAGGTACTGGAAGAGAGTAATAAGGTCTCCCCTCAGCCGCCTCTCCCCAGACTAAACAGCCCCAGCTCCCTCAGCCTCTCCTCATAGGGCTGATTTTCCAAGCCCTTCACAAGCCTCATTGACCTTCTCTGGACCTGCTCCAGTAGCTCCATGTCCTTTGTGTACTGAAGTGCCTAAAACTGAACACAGCACTCGAGGTGAGGCCTCACCAGTGCTGAATACTTCCCTAGTCCTGCTCACCACAGCATTCCTGATACAAGCCAGGATGTCATCGGCCTTCTTGGCCACCTTGGGCACACTGCTGGCTCATGTTCAGCCGACTGTCCATCAGAACACCAAGGTCCCTTTCCATCAGACAGCTTTCCAGCCACACCTCCCCAAGCCTGTAGGGTTGCCTGGGATTGTTGTGACCAAAATGCAGGACCTAACACTTGGCCCTATTAAAACTCATGCCGTTAACCTTGGCCCATCGATCCAGTCTGTCCAGGTCGCTCTGCAGTGCCTTTCTCCCCTCTGGCAGATCAACATTCCCTCTCTTAGGCTTCACTTGTGCTGCAAACTGCCTTGTGAGAATTACTTGCACATCGTATGAAGACTAGAAAATACACCAAAATGAGCTGAAATATAGAATTATAATTGTAGCCTATGAACATGTAACCAACTGTGTAAGTAAATCTGCTAGTGATGACAGTACAGCTGTACTGTATACTGTACACACCTCAAAATGGCTGCAAACTTGTCCAGCTGCATTCACACAAGCTGCAGTCAGTACTTGGGGTTGTCATATTTGTATTTTCATTTATTTTCGTCCTTCTAAATTGTCTTTCAGTGCCTTGAGTACAGATTACATTGCATGGTAACAGCTTTGAAGCAGTGCAGTAAAAGTTTTACTTTTCCTTTTCTGTTACCTCTTCAGGTTTTTGGTAGATACCCCTCTCTCCCTGGCTACTTGCACATCTTTATCAGCTATTTTTGAAATACTAAGTGTCTAGAACACAGAGACAGATCAAATGGATTCTAAATATTGAATATGGGAGTTCTGTGTAGACCTTCTGATACTTCTTTCCCACAGATGCCAAATGGGAAGAATGTGAAACAGACTGCAGTGATGATAAAATGGAAGAAGAGGACTCAGAATCAAGAAAACTAGAAGAAGGTAATGGTACCAACTTTTAGGTTCTGAAGAGAATGAAATTCATTGATGCAAACATTATGGCTTTCTTTTTCACACTGGATATAGTGAAGAGCATAGATGTTTAAGTATGAAACAGATTTTTTTTTTTTTACTTCTCTTGGCAAAATGGGACTTAGAACTCAGATCAGCATGATTAGAAGAGTGTGTGCTGGCTATCATGTAGGAGAAACAGCCATTAGGTTGAAATCTTTTGCACCTGCACAGTAATTAGGACCGTCTTTGCTGCTCTTTTCTCTCACAACTTTTTCTTCCTCCCTTTTCTCTTAGAATTGGGAAGCCTCAAAGCTCAAGAAGAAGAACTTCAGAGGTAAGATGTCAAAGGGGATCTAAGGAACTTAAAAATATTCACATTCAGGAACTAGAGATTTGTATTATTTTTAACCAGTGTACTACATCAGATGTTTATCTTTGTAGAGAACTGTCAGATCTGGAAACTGAGAATGAGCAAACGCTTGCTCAGATGAAGCACCTACAGGAAGATGAAAAGAGCTGCCAGGAACTCCTGGAGAGATGCAAGTAAGGAAAAAAGACTTTCAGGTGTTCTGTTTTTGTTTTTATCAGCTAGTTCTGGAGCCTCGCATTTCTATGTACATGTATCAGTGTTTGTTGTTTTTCCTTTTTATTTGATTTGTATTTGGATGCCCATCTCCTGGCAACCTATGATAAGCAACAAAACTTCTGTGAACTGTTAATGGCTTTACAGTGATACTCTGTATTTCCTTTTTCTATATCCAGCTCTCTTCCCATCCCAAAAGTAATGTTTATGTGAAATGAATATTATTGTGCTTTGGATTCCAAAAGATTCTTACACTTTATTAACAAGTGAAAAATTATTTGGTCTCTCATACAATGTATACATGCAAGCATTCTTAATTCTCTGATCTTTATCCTTCGGGTAATTGTTTGGATTGGTTGGTTGAAACTTAAGTTGTCTGTGTTCGTTTCATTCATTTTAGCTTCACTGAGTGGGAGATCAGTGAATGGAGTGAACGACAGGCAGTCTTTAATTTTCTTCATGATTCCATTGAACTCACAGTTGTGTTTGGAACCCCAGTAGGTAAGTTGCAAAACTAGCAGATTTCTGTTTCATGAATTTGATAGGTTAAATAGTTATGCACAATAGTTAACAGAAATGTACAGATTTTACACTAGAAAAAATTATGTTGAAATAAAAAATGAACTACAGAGTTAGCATGTAAGCTAAGAGAAATAATAAATAGTGGATTTAAATAGTTTTATCAGTGCTCTCTACAAAATTTCTGAATGTGTGTAACAAGTATCTGTTTCTTAAGAGAACTAAGTATAGAAATAGTTACTACTTCAGGCTTTTTCCTTTCCTTCTCAGATGGTGATGTTTTTGGTGAAAATCCTTCCAGAAAAATAGTTAGCCTGAGCTTTGAATCTCTCTTGGATGGTAAGATATTTCACATAGCTTGAAATTAGCTGCCTACTAATATTATACTCTTACTGGGAGGACATTACACATTACACATTGCTTTAGCTGCTAGTGCATTGCTTACATGGCTTTGAAAAGATTTTTTGCAACACCATTTCCTTTTTTGTTACAGAGGAAAAAGCTCCACTCTCCTCATGTTTAGTCCAAAGACTCATATTCCAGTTTATTGAAAGTCAGGGATGCTGGCAGGAAAAGTGTCCCATGCTGCAATACTTGCCCCAGGTAAAGTGTCCAAAGAAAAATATGAAATCTTTTTTGTCACAGGTTGATACAGAGAATACAAGTGTATTGATGAATACTTGATTAATGCAAATCAAAATCTGTTTCATAAATATTCTGAAGTAAGAGGGAGAAGTACCTGCCCCAGAAGTCAAGAGACCTGAAAGCTGTGGTTTCTTCCTTATTTGCTGCCTTGATGTCTGACTATCTCAGTGATGGCTTAAAAGCCTTATTCCCGTTAGTAGAAATCAGGGAATTGAGCTGCATGCCATTCTGCTTTCAAGAGAATTAGTATTTTAAATTCCTAAGCCAAATCTGGTGTTATCTATATTTGAGCAACCTTGGTGACAAAGCTAAAGGGAAAAACTTATGGCAAGGAAGGATGTATGTTTTTTTTTATGCTTGTAAATTTTTATTTTGTGTACAGAGTGAGATAGTAGTTAAGCTGTGTATTTTTAATGCTTTCTAGCATAAACTTCAAGTGTCACTCAGTGGTTTCCGTTTCATTGTAAATCCTTTTCTAATCTCTTCCGTAGGTGCTTCACAATGTCTCTTTGGTGGTAAGTCGTTGCAGGATCTTAGGAGAGGAGATTGAGTTTCTGGAGAAATGGGGTGGAAAATACAATCTTCTCAAGACAGATATCATCGACACAAAGTGAGTAACTTTAGATGTAGCTTATGCAAATTTTACAAAGGATCTCTACGTAAGCAGAAGCACAAGATGCTATGTTGGTTTTCATGAAAATGTTCTTTTATGCAATTATTTTTTAACAAGTCGACTATTTTTTACTACACTTGGACTGTGCTTGGAAATGAAGCTCCCCTTGCATTCAGTCAATTTTCTCACTTTTATTTAATCTCCTCTTATTTACTGCTTTCCTGTTGGACTTGACTCTCTCACAGCATAGCAATACAAAGCAAACAGAGCCAAGAATTTACCTGTGTAGCTTAGTGCTTTGTTTCTTTTATAATAGGCTCAAACTTTGATTTGCTCCAGCCAGTCTTTGAAAGATGAAAGCATTTAAATTAAAACTTATTTTCCTTAGCTTTTATTTTCTCCTACTGCTTCCCAATTTTGTTTCACGTCTCTGGAACAAGATAAAAGGATGAGGTGAAACGGTTTTTATTCCTTATGAGCATTCTTACCTAGGAAATGCCTGGTTAACTTTTATCTGTGTGCCTTGATGCTTTTTACTTACATTACTCTGTAGTACCCTTTGCAAGAGCATTCTTCTAGTACATGCCAGAAGTCCCATCGAAGCTACATTTAGTTAAGTCAATAAAACACGTGTGCAGGCAGCTTGTTCTCGGAAAGATTTATTGTGGGACAACTGTCTTCAAAAGGTCTTCTTTAATCTTGCCATATTCTGTGCTACCCCAGGCATGTTTCGTGGGCATCACGTACTTGGTGATGGTCTTACCTTTTTATACAAAAAGATTCGACTCTGTTCTTCTTGGATGTTATCCTAGACAGATGAACTACACGGAAATCTAGTTTTCTAGATGGAAATTTGTCCTGATTTAATTAGGATTGAATTCATGAAACAATTTTAGAATTATGGTCCTGCTTAAAAGCTCATAAAACTTTATTTAGCTAGAAATGGTTTATGTTAACCAGAAAACTTATTTTTCACTATAATTCTGTATTTTATAATTTTGAAACGTTCTGCAATTAGATTTCATTCTAGGACAGAGTTCGAAGAAGACGTACATTCCATGATGTTTTTGTTTTTGTTTCTGACAGTGTGAAGTTCCTCTTCTCCACTTCCACTGCTTTTGCAAAGTTTGAGTTAACATTGTCTTTATCATCCAACTACCCATCTTCTTCGCTGCCTTTCACTGTTGAAAAAAAAATTGGGAATATTGGGTGAGTTGAGCAGAAAGAACCACCCCACATGACTTATATTTCAAAGCTAGAGCCAGGAAATTAAATGTTCTTCATCTTTTCAAACGCGTGTCACTTTATCTTTTCCAGACATGAGGAAGTTTCTGCTGTTCTCTCCAAAGTACCTATTGGTTACCACTATCTCCGAAGAATGGTGAGCTTGATTCATCAAAATCTGCTCCAGGATCCCAGATGATTGTTTAGGTCTACATGCAGGACTGAAGAAGTCAAGAGGACATTCTTTGACTTATGTATTGTAAGAATGCGTGGTCTCTCACTAGTCGTCTTGGCTTCCCTCTATAGTCTTCCCTAGAATGGCTATTTGTATTACTTAGCTTGTTAATTTTGTTCTAGATTGATTTACAGAGCTCTTACATAAAATGGTGATGATGAATTTCTAAATTCATCTAAATTCTAAATGTGCCTGGAATTTTCTTTTGCTATCATTATTTCACTACTGTGCAACATTCTAACATACTGCATCAGTTTTAATTCTCATCAGTTTCCTGGAACCTCTCCCAAAATGCTGAAATAATGGTCTTGCTTATGATGAATCAAATAACTGGTAATAATTAGACAGCTGGCCAAAATTGGAAAGACTTCTGATATTGAAGACTACAGATCCTTGTGGTTAATCATGAACTCTTCTGGGTGCTACAGACTCAAAACCATCAGTTCAATCGACGCAAGTTTTTCAAAAACTTTGTTCTGACATTCTGTGTACAGGCTTGGTTGGTACAGTGCAGTCTCCCTCCTGCTTTATGTACATTGTCTGAGGAGGTAATGACAAACTTAGTGAGAAGACTGAACTATTTAAATTTTAGGAGGCATCTTTTAATGTCATTGGTGAAGTCCTGATTGATTTTATGTATAGTCTGTGTATTACATAGCTTGAGATGTTGAAATTGATGTAACCCTGATGAGTTGATAGAGTTGGCATGCCTACCATTTATAAGCTCTTCATTCTGTAGGCAGATAGTATTTTTTGTATCTGTAAAATACATTGAATTTGAAAGTGTTTTTATGTTTTTTAAGTGCATATATATTTGTGTCTTTCTCTAATTTTTTCCTTCTATTTGGAAGGTGGAAGTTCATTAAATATATGAATTACTGTTATTCTTTCTTCAAGCTGTTTGACTGCTCTGTTTAAACTTCTGTCTGAAAGTTTGCCTATTACTACTGACAAAACTTTATCTCTTTAAGACTTCTCATAATCTGAATGTGTTTTTTTTTGTTTTTGGTTTTTTTTTTTTTTCCCTGTACTTCACAGTGTTAGACTGTTATAGTGTGATCTTTGCAGGAGAAAACATTTTAAGTAGAAAATAGTAATAAATTTGCAAATGTCTTGGATGCTATACCTGGAATTACTTTCGAGGTTCCTGAGGCCATTTTATCAGCAGCAAGAACCAGTAGAGGGAGCTGCAGTAGTACTGTGTGATCATTATCCTGCTTGGTTTTTTTCCATGTCTAGTTTGTTGAGGGGTTTTGTTTTGTTTTTAATTTTCTGTAGCATGTTTCTAAGCCAAAAAAAAAGGTAATGAAGTACCAGATGAAACAAAACCAAAATGCTCCATGTATTTACAGTAAAAATAGTGTTTAGGAAGTTTCACTTGCAGCAATGGAAGCTGCTGATGTCATTTGCTATCTCTTTGCTTTGATAAAACCAGGGAAAAAAAAGACTTCTGTGTGGTTTCTTAGAAGCTGTAGTGATCTCATCTGATTTCAGCGCTATCACAGGTGAATAGCTCAACCTGAAAAGCTCTGGATTTACTTAGTAAGTACTTAGGGAGTGAGTAAAAACAAGCTTTACCATAAGAAACAAGCACCTTTTTCTTAGCTACTCAGCACAAGGAGTCTTCCCAACTTCCATGTCTTTTTGTATTTGGATAGCTTAGCGTTGGTCTTATGTCCAATAATCTGCAGCTTTTCAATGACATAATGAAATTCCTGAGTCCAAGTAGACTCAGTGATTTTCTTCAATAGTGAGACAGCACTGCATCAGCCTCCTTTGTGTCTGACCACAACCCACTAAAACAGGAAGCTATTGATAAATCACAGAATCAGAACTGCCTGAGTTGGAAGGGAATTTTAAAAGTCATCTAGTTCTTATTAACCCCATTTTAGATACTGAAGGGCTGCTCTCAGATCTCCATGGAGTCTTCCCTTCTCCAGGCTGCACATCTCCAGCTCTCAGCCCGTCCTTGGAGGAGAGATGTTCCATTCCTTGGGTCATTTCTGTGGCCCTCCTCTAGACACACTCCAACAGGCTCATGTTTCTCCTGCACTGAGGACTCCACATCTGAGTGCAATGCTCCAGGCGAGGTCTCACACCGTGGAGCAGAGATGTTCCCTTGAACTGCCTACCACGTTTTTCTTCATCCAGCCCAGGAAAAGGTGTAAGGCTCACAGTATGTGCAAAGCGAACCTCTGAGCAGTATTCTTGCTTCCTCTTTTGTGTGCAGTTAGATTTGGGAATTATTAATAGGCTTTTTTAAAGCTAGCTGCACAAATATTCTCAATTGTTGAAGGTCATATCTCTTTAATATCTTATATCCTTTATCTTTGCATGACCTTCTCTTTGTAGATGTCTGGCCAACACTAAAAAGGATTTAATACACATTGTAATGAAAAGCACAAGCCCTCTGCAGATATTTCCAGTGAAGCTGGCCTGGAGCTACTGCTGGAATAGTGGTGTCAGCGTCTGTAATAAACATTAGGACAAAATACAGCAGTGTGATGTTAATCCTAATCAACTAAAACAGAAGCAGATGGAAATCCTTATAAATGATGGTCAGGAAAAGCAGCAGGGAGGTGCAGATTTTCCTGTTCTGCATTACATTCAGATGCAGAAGTCCATCCCACTCCGTGCTCTGCTTCCAAGGGTGAGCAGCACTCTTGCGCATATGTGTGTGTACATGTAAAAAGGGGTGCGTCCCCTTTAAGGCACCGCCAGCTTCAGCTAAATCCATTGGGTGAGCGTGACTCCACGCTCTCTCCCGTCACGTGACGCGGTGGCGGGCTCCGCGGTCTTCCCCCGTCACGTGACGCGGTGGCGGGCTCCTCCGAAACGGTGGCGGCTACGAACGGTAATGGCGGGGGCGGGCGCGCGGGTTGCAGCGGGCGGCTGCGGGCCTGGGGAGGAGCGGCGCGGCGCGGCGCGGCGCGGCGCGGCGGTTGAGGCGGGCCCATAAGAAGTTTGAAAAATAACGCTGGGTTGAGGTGATGCGGGGGCGGCCCGAGAGTGGAGAACGAGAGGAAACGGGACAGGCCGCTTTCCGATGCGTGTGGTGGCGGAACGCTGGGCCACCGCCCTGCCTTCAGGCTGCGAGTGGCCCCGCTGGGAGCCTCCCAGCACGCAGTACTCGGGGGACAACCCGAGCACGCACTGAAGGCGACGGTTTGCTAGCACCGTGCTGATTTTTTCACCATTATCCTCCTGAATGCTCGGGAGCCTCAGTTCAACCTCCCGTCAGGTGAGGTCAGTCAAGGTCTTGTTTTTAGAGTGTAACGCTGCCCAGGAGAGCGCACAGAAGACTTTTCTCACTGTGGGAAGGGACTTTGCTGCTCTGTGCGCCCGTGTCCCGTTTGTGTTGCACTCCGTGTCACCAAGCTGTCTGCTTTCCTTCTAGGACGACTGCAGCCATGGCTATGCAGGTGCAGTTCGAGGCAAACGCCGACACATCTGCAGAGGAGGAGAGCTTTGGCCCAGAGCCCATATCTAGGCTAGAGGTAAAAGGTTTTGTATGATAAGGGCAGTGAGGCATTGGCACGAGTTGCCCGGAGAGGTGAGGGATGCCCCATTCCTGGAGATGTTTGTGGTGAAGAAGCTGAAAGGGCCTTTGAGCACTTGATAGAGCTGTAGGTGTCCCTGGTCATGGCATTATTGGACCAGCTGCCCTTAGAGGTCACTTCAAACAATTTTATGCTTCTATCTTTTCCTTGATATTTGTTAGTTACCTTCAGTATTTGTTAAATCAATATCTGCTTTTCTGCACTATTTAGAGAGTAGCTCTTGCAAACACTGCATTACGATCATTTTTATTTAAAAGACTACTTGTTTGTAAGTGTTAGGGTGGTAGCATTGGATGTGCTGACTTGTAATAACAGAGTTTGATTTAAATTGTAAAGTAGAATCATAGAATTGCTCAGGTTGGAAAAGACCTTCAAGATCATCCAGTCCAACCACGAACTAACCACATTACCCCAACTCTAACAGCCCTCTGCTAAATCATGTCCCTGAGCACCACATCCAAACAGTTTTTAAACACATCCAGGGATGGGTCCCTGAGGAGCCTATTCCAGTGCTTAAGCACCCTTTCTGTAAAGAAGTTCTTCCTGATATCCCACCTAAACATACCCTAGTGCAGCTTGAGGCCATCTCCCCTTGTCCATTTGTTTGTAAGTGTTAGAATGATAACACTGAACGTGCTGACTTGTAATAACAGCGTTTGATTTAAATCTAAAGGCAGCTGAAGGTGTTCAGTGATTGGTGTTTGTGACTCCTTGTGTCTCTTTTTCCTCTGTCTGTCAGCAATGTGGGATAAATGCAAATGACGTGAAGAAATTAGAAGAAGCTGGATATCACACTGTTGAGTCTGTTGCACATGCACCCAAGAAGGAGCTGTTAAATATTAAAGGCATCAGTGAAGCCAAAGCTGATAAAATCTTGGTAAGGATGTTAAGCAAAAACTTTAAGCTGAGAAAGTCAAGAAGGTTTATTTTTGCTATTTTAAAGTATTCCAGTGATTTTGGAAGGTTTCAATTAATGATAGACCGAGAAGAGTAATAAGGCTGATTAGGGATGTGTTGTGGCTTTTTATGGGAAGAGATCAGAAGAGGCTAGAACCAGCTTCAAGAAGAAGTGAAGGGCTGGGGGAAATAATTAGGAAGTTCTCTAAAAATTGTGGAAGATGTGGAGAGTATGGCCAAGACTGTCATTTCCAGCTCAATATCTCTCATGGTAAGGAGGCTTGAAGCAAAGAAAGCATTTTTTCATACAGGATATGATGGAGTTCCAGAACTACTTGTCCCACAATGCTGTAACCATCAGTATTATGAATGGTTTAATAATGTAACAATACCAAGAGATAAGTATGGTGTTAATGAGATAATCTTCACACAGAGGCACTTGGCGAACTCATAGGAATTATCAGGTAGTGAATCAGTTCCTTATTCCCTGACTTGTTCCCCAAGCATCCACTTGTGGCAGTTGTCAAGGCACAGGGTGCTTAGTTAGGAACCACTGGGCTGACCCCATACAGTTGTTCCTCTGTTACAACCCACTGAAGCGCAGGTGCAGGTGGCACCTGAGCTTTATAGTACTAATTACTAGGGAGTAAATTAATGGGATGTGCTCTTTCTGCACTGCTTAGTTTGGTTTTCTTTAGGCTGAAGCAGCTAAACTGGTTCCAATGGGTTTTACCACAGCAACGGAATTCCATCAGCGGAGGTCTGAAATCATCCAGATCACCACTGGGTCCAAAGAACTTGATAAACTTCTTCAAGGTAATAACTTGGGTTCTATTTATTGATTAACTTTCATGATCATCTCCCTGTTCCCACTTGTAATCTAAAAGCACAGTTAAGTCACTTCAGCTCTTCAGCATCATCAAAAATAAACTTAGCTGAACTTCTCACCTTCAGAATGAGCAAACCTCAATATGAAAACCAGTTTTTCCAATTAGCTTGAAAACTTTCAGCCAAAGTGTTAAACTCAGTCTGTGTTAAATTAAAACTTTGTGTATGCAGTCTTTACTGGAAGTATGTGACAATTTTTTTATTATTTATTTTTTTTTCTTTCTTCCACTTAGGAGGAATAGAAACAGGGTCCATAACAGAATTATTTGGGGAGTTTCGTACTGGAAAAACACAGTTGTGCCATACTTTGGCAGTAACCTGTCAAGTGAGTGATCCACTTTATTAAAATCAAGTATTCAGACAATGCAGTTTTTGTGTATTTGCTAGTTTTATTTATGCCATTTTCTTACAAAAACAACCCCACACATGCACAGCTGCAAAGAGTGGATTTTATCCGTTCCCAAAGAGATCTCAGAAACTTTTGCAGCAACCATGACTGAACTTTCAGCTTGCAAGGGTCTTTTATTCCTCACTTAACCTGCTTGTTAGGATTACTGTAGCAGCAGTTAAATTTGTTATCTTTTTGCCCATATTTTGGCTTATGTTTTGTAGCTTTTTTTTGGCCTTAATATTTTGATCCCATTAACAGACATTAGCCTTGTGGTGTAATCATAGGTCTTAAGCACAGAGAGGTGCTTGAAGCTGAGCTCCTGTCCTCTTGCACAGACACTGAAGACAAGAATCTGTCTTGTCACTTTTCCCAGACAAATGTGACTTTAATCACCATAGCTTGGTACGTTATTTATTATGTGAACATCAGCTGAAGGCATAAAGCAGTAACTAAATTACTTGTTATTGATTTCGTATTCATAAATGTGCTCTTCCTTCAGCTTCCCATTGACCAAGGAGGTGGAGAAGGAAAAGCCATGTATATTGACACTGAAGGCACCTTCCGTCCAGAACGTCTTCTTGCTGTGGCTGAAAGGTCTGTACTTACGGCTGGAAGTAAACAGGCATTAGGTGAAGAAGGGAATGCGTTTCCTAATGGTGAGGCAGCCTAGTTAAAATCAGCCAGGCTCTTTACATTCATTGGACTGTTAGAGTAAGAACTATCCTTAAGCAACAGCTCCTTCCTGCCTCCTGGGTTCTATCACTGCCTACCTAGATGCTCTTTAGACCAGTTCATTAGCTGTATTTTATAAAGTTTCTATTTTTACTTAGCTATGATATAAGCTAACATCATTGTTTCTTGGCATATGTTTTCACTTAATATCCCCCTCAAATTTAGTTTTACAGTTGGTGGCATACCAAGATTTTCCTTAAATTCTACTAGTATTTTGTAACAAAGATTCTTTTACAAGAAGTTTATCTTAACAGCACATGGAATTTTTTTGTTGAGAAATGTTAGAGTCATCCCTGACCAGTTGGAAGACAGTTTTCTTATCTCCTGCCTCTACTTCATAATACCTCAGAAGTGTCTTGTACACAAATCAGGGATAAGGTAATTAACTGAGTTTCCTGAAGGCAATAAAAACTGCTGGATACATGCAGATTCTTGTTATACTTAAATATCAAACTAATATGAGCTGTACTGGTCCACAAGAGTTGTTCCCTTTTCTTTAGAGAGGAAATTGACCTAATCAACGTATCATCCTGCATGAATGAAATAAAGTCAAGTTATTGAAAGGTAGCAGTAACTCCTGTTGGTGAAGTTTGTTGCTGAAGACTTTTGTCACTGATGTCTCTAGGTATGGCTTGTCTGGCAGTGATGTCCTGGATAATGTGGCGTATGCTCGAGGCTTTAACACAGATCACCAGACCCAGCTGCTCTATCAGGCATCTGCTATGATGGCTGAATCACGGTAATGAGACCTCATCTTAAGATGGGGTGATTTTTGTGCTGGTACATTATAAACATGCTTGTACAGTTCTCTTGCACTGGTTCATCACCTGCACTACATGACTGAATTGTCAAAGTAACAGCTTACGTTTAAAGTTGTTCTCAAACCTTTGCTTTGACGCTTGCATGCAGTAAGTTTTGTGTATCAGCTGAGATGTGTGAGTAATTTAGTTGTGAGTTAATACCTGTTCCTTTTGAAATGTTGGATGGTAGCAACTGACTTAAGCTATGACAACTGACTTGACTTGACAAAGAATGAGTGCCAGCCTGAGAAACAACTTTAAAGATCACATTATATAATTGCTTTCAGAAAGAGAGTTGATATAGAGCAGTGCAGCTGTTGTGGTTTAGCCTGGCAGGCAGCTAGCACCAGCTGTTCACCTCCCTAACCCCAAGAGGGTGGGGGAGAGAACTGAAAACAGTAAAAATGCAAGAACTCTTGGGCTGAGATAAAGACAGTTTAATGAGAAAGAAAACAAAACACAACTGCTACAGAAAATGATGGTGCAGTGTAGTTACTCGCTACCTGCTGAGCAATGCTCTGCCTGTCACTGAGCAGTAGCAGTCTCCTCCAGCTTTGTTGTTCAGCATGATGCCATTATATATGGTATAGGATATCCCTTTGGCCAGCTTGGGTCAACTGTCCTGGCTCTTTTCCAGCTCCTTGCAGGCAGGGCAGCAGGAGGAGCAGGAGAGTCCTTGACTCAGTATAAGCACAACAACTAAAACATCAATCTATTATCAACATTTTTTTTTTTACCTTTTTTTTTTTTTTCCCAGAACAGTAGCATACCAACCACTGTGAAGAAGATTAACTATCCCAGCCAAAACCAGGACGTGTGCAGATAGCTTTAGTTTGAAACTGAGGTTTACAAGACCCTTTAGAAGGAAGGGGGTGGTGATATGAGATACACAGGGGCCTGTTTACCTGCAGAATACCCATGTAAAAGACCTTACAAAGGGTTTTATTTCATAGTAATCTGAATGCTGCAAATTGACTCTGTGGTGGTAAAAATAACACTTCTGCTAACTGGTAGGTGAGACGGGCTTATATCCACATCTGCGTGCAGCTTACAGTTGACTCAGATGGTCACATTATTCACCTCTGAAAACAATTTTGAGAATGCTTTATGTAACTTTTCCAGGTATGCACTGCTGATAGTGGACAGTGCAACAGCTCTGTATCGGACAGATTACTCTGGAAGAGGTGAGCTGTCAGCGAGACAGATGCATCTGGCCAGATTTCTGCGTATGCTTCTCCGACTTGCAGATGAGGTAAATGCTGAACTTTGCTCCCTAGGGGACTGGTGATTGATTTTCTTTCTCTTGTGAAGCTCAGCAATCTTGTACAAAAGGTGTTCTGCCTGCTCGTTGTCTGCTTCTGTTGTATTTTGAGAGTGAGTATTACCTGCAGAGAGGAGAGCAGAGCAGAAGTACAAGCATGGGTTTTTTTTGTTTTTTTTTTTAATTTATTCAGGTGGTGGAAAGTGATTTTGCTTTGTTGCTTTTCTCCTAGTTTGGTGTGGCTGTTGTGATCACTAACCAAGTTGTGGCACAAGTAGATGGAGCAGCCATGTTTGCAGCAGATCCCAAGAAACCTATTGGAGGAAATATCATAGCCCATGCGTCCACCACCAGGTGAGAGAACAGATTATCATCTTCCATTAGCTTTATTTTGGAAGATTTTGTGTCACTGAATACATACTTTTTAATTCCGGGTCTCTCTTTGGTCTGCCAGTGTCACTTCCAGTCTGCTTTGCAGAAACTCTGAGCAGGTTCAGTTCTTACAGTTCAAAGTGTGCTACATTCCATGTAACGTTTCAATGTAATGTTTTAATAATTACTATCAGGATTCTCTGGAAGAAGGCTATACCTCTTTTCTTTCTTCTTCCCCCTCAGACTTTATCTGCGAAAAGGCCGAGGTGAAACCAGAATATGTAAAATTTATGACTCTCCTTGCCTTCCTGAGGCTGAAGCAATGTTTGCTATTAATGCTGATGGAGTGGGAGATGCAAAAGAGTGAAGACTTCATCTCATTCCCCGTGTAAACTAAGACTGGGTGGCCACAATCGGCTCCTGTGATGGAAGCTTTCCCAATGCACCTGCTGTTCAAATGCTGTCCGAGGATTCTGTTGTATGTCAGCATACGTGTTCATCATGTGAATCCAATTTGAGACATGTCTGCAGGTGTTGCTTGGAAGAGACTGGGTTTTAGTCAAGTGTTAGGTTAATGTGGTTTCTTGAGAATATTTTCAGAGGACCATATGCTTGAAGTTTTCTTCACAGCTGTTGCTCCCATTGAGTTCTACAGGTGGACATAGCACAGTGATCTGAAAATTTGTGGCAATAGTTTGTAATTTAATGACTTTGAAGTAAGTCAGGTAAGGAACGTGGTGGCTTGAGAACATAACAGGTTGCCTTAATAATTAGTTACAAAATAAAGCAGAATAGCATTCCACAAAAAGAATGTGTGAATATTGCTGTGTCTGAGATTATGATCGACCCCTAAACTTTTTGTTAATTTTGCTTTGAATTCTGCAATATGCTGCTTTTTGGGAACTGCTAATTTACATTTCAATAATGTTGTTTATTGTATGTCATTATTTCTCTCTGGAAATCTGCTTTTTAATAAAAAGACCATGAAAATATTGATGACATTACAGGCGCCTGGACTTTAGCCAGGTGCTAATTCAAACTTAGGCACTCTTTGCCTGAGGTAGGGAAAAGATCTTCAGTGACTCTCAACGTGGGGTGTTTTTTTTTTCTACAAAACATCATTTCCTTTTCTGATACGTGCTGTACAGCTGCTTGGTTGCTGACACTTGCCTGGTCAAGTGACTGGTGAAACTGTGACCAACTGTAAGACCCTGTCCTTGCACTCTATGTGCTTCTGGTGGCCAACACCTGGCAGTGGTTTGTTGTAGGCTGACATGACTTGATCACAGTCCTCCAGTGTTAGTGTTGTACAGTTTAATCTAACAGAACACATTATTCTTTTCAAAGTCTGAACAACTGAGGTAACTTCTGAAGTTCCCTCTGTTCATCCAATGCTTAGCATGCGAACTGCTTTCTCTGTAGTCCACAGCACTTCTCTAGGTCAAGCTGAAAGGTTTGTAACTGCCACAAAACCCAACAAAATGGGAAAAATTTTTCCTCTTCTCTAAGCTCTTATACAGCCATCTAAGCTTTTATACAGCCCAGGCTTGGAGCTCGGTGGGATTTGGGTTTTTTCTTTTTAGCACAAGAATCTTTAGGAATGTCCTCAAGTTATCTGATGACATCCCATAGCAAGTATTTCCATAAAGGGTTTAAGTTGCTTGTGACTCAAGGCTATGTAACATTAATTAAAATAAGCTTATTGTCAACATTGCTTTCATCTCAAGGAGCTACAATTAATAATATTTTGGAAACATTTTTCCTGCCTTTCATTGAAGTATTTGTCTCAGCGTTTCTCAAAAACTCTAAAACTCCCCTTAAAGAAGCAGAATATCATTAGAAATCATAACTTTAAAAGCTCTTAGAAGTTTTTGTGTGTTTGTGCAACCATCTGGCTTGCATTCACCCAGCCAACTTTTGCTCTGTTAGAACCCTCACCTAGAGGTGAGAAGGAATTTATCGTTGAAGCACGTGCAGAAATGGGTGTGTTGTTCTGAGCTACTCATTGTTTCAGCCTTTATTTTTGAAGGAAATTAATTGGTGTTTCTTTCCCCAATTTCAAATTCTCTCTAAGCCACTTCAAAGCACAGGAGGGGCAGCAATATGTGCTGGGGAAGCAGAAAGGAGGTTGGTGTCTAAGGCTTGTATTTTGGGGTTAAATGATGGGAAAATGTTTCTCTCTGCTGTTTCACAGCCACGCTGAGGAAAGCCCCTTAAACAGGCCAATGACTAGAAGGAAATGCCTCATTTATTTTATTTATTTTGAAATACGTAACTGAAATTGGGTGCTTTCATGAAGAAGTCAAATCCTACCAAACCAAAATAGTATGGGGAAAAAACACCTTTTTTTTTTTTTTCTCCCCACCATTCAGAGAGGAACAGCTGCACAGCATGAAGACTTGTTCTGTTTTTTTTGTAGAGGTGGTGTATTATATTATTTATATTATATTATTATATATTATATGCTAGAATAGGCAGCATCATGATCTGGGGGCAACACATGGCATCAGAGAGACCAACCAAGGCATCATTATGAGAGTAAGCATCAAAGTCAAGGAGAGGCAGCTGTATAACATTCAACAGGGATGGAAGCAGAAGGAGTGAGCTGGAGTGTTGCTATAAGGAGGGAGAAGCCAAAATCAGAGCAGTCCAAAGAAGAGTTTGGGGACGAGCATGGAAAGCCCCAAAGTTTTGATTAAAGCTATTTTTTTTTTTGTTTTGTCCCCAAGTTGGGTTGGGGTTATGAGAAAAAGTAGCAGGAAGCAAGCTGGTTCAGCTTGCTGTTTTTTGGGATAGTAAACAGCCAGAGACGCTGTAAAGCTCCAGGCAGCCCAATTCACTCTATTTGTGCAGAATTAATTTCCCCTTACCATGGAAAATTGCCTTTTCTTGGTCCAGGGGACATTACATGCAAGTATCAGCCTTGCTCAGGGTCAGACAAGACAATGAAATCATCCTTCTGAAGCCACTAAGCAATGTCCCCAGAGCCACCCCACATCCTGCAGCTCACCTCTGCAATCTGATGCCTTCTGGGAAGCGGAGATGCTCAGGTTTGGTGATGGAGCTGCCAAAAGCTGCACTGAGATGATTGAATCCAGCTGCAAAGCCCAGAGCCACAATTGCAATCACGAGTGGGAAAAATAAAGCAAGAAAAACTCCACAGGGGGACAGGGATATGTAGCATCACCCACCCCACATGGGTCCATAATACTTTCAGGGAGGATACGGGTGATGCTAGCAAGCTCCATGATAAAGTTCTGACTGCTGTCAGCACCCTGCTGCTCCCTGAACCCTGCACCCACTCACAGCCCCTTCTGGACCCCGCTCCCTCCTCACACCCAAACTTGGAGCTCTCCACCATGATTCCATCTCCATGTGTCTCATTGGGGTGGCTCCACCCATGTTCTCCCTCCCCAGCCCACAGCAGCCTCCTGGGGGGAGGAGAGAGGTTTGGCCTGTCTTGGAGGCAACCATAAAGCCGCGCTGATCCTCAGCCTCCGTGCAGAGCAGCTGCAGCCGTGAGTGCGATGGGGACCCCCAAAGGTGCGGCCACAGCGCTGGTGCTGTCACCTCTCTCTGCCCTTCTCATTGCCGTTGTGCTCACTGCCATCCTGCTGCTTGCCAGGACTCTCCGCAAGGCCACTCATGGCCAGATCCTACCGGGTCCTTTTGCGTGGCCTCTGGTGGGCAATGTCCTGCAGCTGGGCCGTCTGCCCCACCTCACCTTCATGCACATGGCGTGCCACTATGGAGCCATCTTCCCTTCCTTCGGCCTGGTGTCTGGTGGGCGCAGCATCACCTTTGGGAGCTGCTCACCCCAATGGCAGGCACAGTGGCGGCTGGCCCATGCTGCCCTAAGGGCTCATTCAATGGTTGCCGAGGTGGAGTGGCACGTGGCGGCCGAGGCAGGTGACCTGGCGCAGCTCTTCCGGAGGCACAGCCAGGGTGGTGCTTATTTCCAGCCCTGCCCGCTCTTAGTGGTGGCCAACACCAATGTCCTCTGTGCTCTCTGCTTTGGCCACCGCTATGACCATTCTGACAGCGAGTTCACCGCATTGCTTGGCCGCAATGACCGCTTTGGGCAGACGGGGGCCGGCAGTCTGGTGGACATGCTGCCCTGGCTCCTCTGCTTCCCCAACCCTGTCCGCTGTGTCTACTGTGACTTCCAGGCCCTCAACTGTGAACTGCGTGGCTTTGTGCAGGCCAAGGTGGCACAGCACCACCAGACCTTTGACTGGCGAGCAGTCCGTGACATCAGTGATGTCATGATCACCTCTGTAGAGTGCTGGGGTGTGTCCCCTGATGGGCTGGGACCTGAGGATGTGGAAGGTGCCATGACCGACATCTTCGGAGCAGGGCAGGACACCACATCCACAACGTTCTCATGGATCCTCCTGCTGCTGCTGAAGCACCCGCAGGTCCAGCAGGACTGATAGGCTGAGCTGGAGCGGTGGTGGGACACAGCCGACTGCCCACAACTGAGGACCGACCCCATCTACCCCTTCTGGAGGCCTTCATCTATGAGACACTGCGCTACAGCAACTTTGTGCCCATCACCATTCCACATGCCACCACAGCTGATGTGGAGCTCGAGGGCTTCCACATCCCTAAGGGCACTGTGGACTTTGTCAACCAGTGGTCAGTCAACCATGACTGCAGCAAGTGGTCTGAGCCCCAGTGCTTTGATCCTACGCGATTCCTGGACAAGCAGCAGTGCCTGGACCGTGAGCGGGCTGGCAGCGTGATGATCTTCTCGGCTGGCCAGCGGCGCTGCATAGGTGACCAGCTCTCCAAGCTCCAGCTCTTCCTCTTCACCACCATCCTCCTCCACCACTGCTCCTTCCATGCCAACCCAGCGGAGCACCTCACCATGGACTGCATCCATGGGCTGGTGCTGAAGCCACTGCCTTTCACTGCCAATGTGTGGCCGAGGCTCCACCTGCTCATCCAGCCATGATGGCCCATCCAGCCAAGGTGCATCAACAGGGTGGCAGGGAATACCTTGCCTTGCACACTAGTAACTCTTGCTTCTTATAGTGTCAAAGGCAGTGAGTCCCCACAGTAATAAACATCTTTGACACAGGACCCATCTCTGCTTATTTTCTTTGTGGGGTGGCTGCAAGCATCGTTTGTACCTGTAGCTCCATCACAAACACCCCTGAGCTCTTTTCCCCAAGACAGGTCAAAACTGCAGAAATCGAACCCTCTCCCTTGGTACCCTAAGATGTAGCAAGAAGTGTGATTTTCTCTCCTTCTAGCAGGAGTGAGACATTCATAGAAGATATACTTTAGAACTCAGGGAAAGCCATGGTGGATCAAGGGAAGCTTCTGGGGGAGCCTCATCCTGAGACCTGAGTTTATGGACTGGTCACCCATGGCGGCCTGGACAGGTCTTGTCCTGCTGCATGGCCCCATCAGTTTGACCCCATGAGCACAGCCTACCTTCATGCCCCCAATTCTCACGTCCTAGCTTTAGTTGGGAGGGAATTGTGTCTGAGACGATGCTATGTTTTGGTTGTAGGAGAAAAACAATTTTGATAATACATTGCTGTTTGTAGTTGCTGCTAAGCTGTTCTGTAATAACACAAGGCCATTTGCAGTGAAAGGCCCAAGGAGCTGGGAGGGAACAAAATTACAACAGCTGACTTAAACTGTCCAAAGGGATACTCCATACTACAGAATCATAGAATTGCTCAGGTCGGAAAAGACCTTCAAGATCATCAAGTCCAACCATAATCTAACCATCCTACCCTAACTAACACCCCTCTGCTAATCATGTCCCTGAGCACCACATCCAAACGGTTTTTCAACACTCCAGGGGTGGTGACTCAACCATCTCCCTGGGAAGCCTATTCCAGTGCTTAAGCACCCTTTCTGTAAAGAAGTGTTTCCTAACGTCTGACCTAAACTTACCTCATATATATAAGTGGAAGGAGTTTTGAAGGGGGTGGGAGTACATCTGCTGGAGTAGAGAAACAATTCGGGAATTTTATTTCTCCTCTATGAACCTTTAAATTTTAAGTAGAAAGAGCCACTTGGCAGCTTACATTGAGATGCTTAGCTGAAATGGGACATGGCCCCTTTCCAAAAACAAGATTCTTTGTTCCCCTAAATGTTCCTGAACGGCATCTGGAAGCACAACCCAGACCTGTAGAGAAATCCTCTTTTCTGGAGGGTCACCATTCTTTTGTACAGGTATAGTGTGGTTGGGTAACTGTCTATTGCCTGTATGCTACCAACACCATCGCGTGGTCTTTCTTACACATATTTAAAAATAATGCAGGTGAACATGTCCAACCAAAGTTAATAGAGTTGGCTCTGAAATAGGAAGATAAACCATCCCAAAACAGTCTCCACCCAAGCTACCGTCATGCTCACCTCATGCCACTACAGTGTAGTCCCCCCAAGGAACTCCTAATGACAACACCTCCTAATGACAACAATTTACCAACAACAAACTCACCTTCCTCCAGAAGTTTTACCAAATATGAGATTTAATTATCTGGGAAGATTTGAATACATCCTTACCAATTTAGCCCTCCTCTTGACAGCATATCAGAGCATGTAGGTATTTCCAAGTCTGCTTCACACCTCTGCTATCCACCACAGATGCTGTGATGGTCAACAGAACCAAGATGCCCTCTGTAACCTAATGGGAACTGGCACAAAGCAAAGGCATCCACTCAGATGGATGTTTGACGTGTTTGACGGTGTCCAGAAATTATTCTTGACTGCATGCTGGCGGCAGCGCTGTGCAAAGTGTGCAGCTGCAGCTCACAGGGGGGTGGAAGCTGCTTACAGCACTTCCTCAAATGATTTTGCAATGTTTTGACCACCCCATTTCTCAAATCTAGAGAGAGACGCTGCCAGGAAATACGATTTTTGGAAGCGCGATGCCAGGAAATGCATTATTTACAGTCCCCTGTGTCCAAACCCCTTCCTACTCCTCATCCACAATTACGGTCATAGTCGCATGCAAGCAGGTGCTGCACAGGTTCCCCCACAGTTTTCAAGATACTGAAATGCTGGAATAGGATCTTTATTATTTAGCAGAAGATGCACAAGAGATCCAGCTGCAGAACTAACCCGTTCATTAAGAAGAAAAGCAATCAGAAATTAATCTTTCCTTCTAAATAATTGTCTGCAGGTATGTAAACAACCCAAAACAGAGTCTATGCCAATCCCGGAGCCTCTTCTGCTTCTCATAAATGATTTATTTAAACCTGATCTAAAGGGCCTTTAACTTCTCCATCAGTCAAGCTGACATTAGCCCAGTAAGTAGGAAGCTGACCTTTGTTACAGGATGCATTTATAATGATGGGGAATTTCTATCCCCAGGTTTGCATTGCCTTGTCTTCCTTCATAGCTTTTGAGCCCTTCTCATGTTTATATTTTGGGAAAAGCAACATTTAAATAAATCTCACTCAGAGAACTAATCTCTCTTAAGTTTTTGAGATCATGTTTGCATGCCCAACTGAGACTGTATGCTTGCACATGCAAAACCTGTGAAAGCATCACAGGTCTACAGCAAACAGTAGCAGTGTTCACATTTATCCTTTCTCCCCTGAATTTTGCCTAGTTTCATTATGTGCGCTTTGTATGCCAACATCAGCAAAGTCAACATATGTACTGCTGCAAAAAAAAGTTTGTTTTTTGTAATACTCAGGGGACTCTGAAATGGGCCTTTGCTATATATTACTCTAAGGAAAATAATGACAGTTCACCTACATGAACCCAATGGTTTGCCACATGTCGGTAAGACTTGCTGTAAAAAACAAGATGGCAAGGCAAGCCTATTGCAATCCTCCCATTTCAGGGTCTCCCTCAAACCAAGGATCTCAGCAGGTCAGCCTTTGCCAGGGAATTTCCAAGGAGTTGCAGATGTCATTGAAACAAAAAAATTTGGACTTCACAGAAATCTTGAAGCCAAGGTGGGAGTCAGAATGACTGCGCCATTCCTGGTAGGAAGCAGTGTTGACATTCCTACTCCGATATTGAGTCAGATGTTTCCCAGAACACTGAGGAGGTGGTCACTGCCCTGGTATGCTCTAATTATTGGAAATCAACTTCCAAACAGAACCTGCCTGTTTTTAAATCCCTCATCCTCAACTGGCAACCCATTCCTATGGGTCAGTGCTGACCTCCTCTCTGCGATGTTGAAGTGATTCAAAAATATTTTTCAAGCTGTGTTTTCCTACCCATGGTCAAGTATGATTGCAGCAGACAAAGCACTCATTTGATTGTTAACACTCAAGTATTGCAAAATGTCACTTAAAAAGTCTTCTAGTGGTTCTAGAGTCCTAGAGATTTATGTTGAACAACAGTGTACCTACATGTCCTCTCCTGGGCTGCTGCCTTCAGTGCCACAGGGCTCTGTGGTTCAGTGCACTGGAAGACGCTACAATTTCACTTTAAGAAGAAAACAAAAGGGATGAGATTACAGAGAAGTTGCAGGCTGAATCCAGTCCTAATTTACCATGGACAGACAAAGTTTTCTTGAAATGTGTAGGTGTGGCACTTCGGGTTGTGGTTAGAGGTTGAATGTTGGACAAGATCTTAAGAGGTCTTTTCCAATATCAATGATTCTATGATTCTATCCATTGCTTGCTGGGAGAGGACTTCCTTTGTACTTGTGATTGCACATAGCTCCAACGTCCCTCTCCCAGGGATGGTATGTGACTAATGTGCAAGCAAATTAACACAGACAAATCACTCCTATCTACTCCATTAGGCAGCCCAAATATTGTTTCCCACTATACCTACTCTTTAGTGCAACTATGCTATCAATCAGTACTCCTCAGTTCAGTGAATTTTAAGGAATGAAGAAGTACAGCTAGGGCTATAACTCACTCTCTCTGCAAAGTAATTTGGAACACAATGAAATAAAAGTTGTCAGGAGGTCTAAAACACTCAAAAGCAATGCTAAGCCCCTTGTTTATGGCTTCTGTCTGGAGCAGGTGGAGATGGCTTCAGGCTGTGAAAGCGGAGCACAGAATATTTAGACTTGGTAACAACTGATCACTCACATTTATTGAAAAACAACCTCACCTGGAGCACACTGCTCACCATAACTTGTGGCTGTATTACTTTGGTGCAATTTAGAAACATAAACAGTAGTCATGGTATTTACATACAAAATGTATTAGAGGCGTAACCCACACAGTTACAAACATATGTATAAACAGTGATATATAAACAAGAATTTTATATGTTACCTTCCCATAATATTCCAGCACACCACCACACATACAATAGACACCACAATACTTTAGAAGACTTCCTCCTGACTGTTGCGTTTCTTTACCTGTCTGTGTACCAACACAACAAGCAAGACAGTGACACAGGAAACTTTAAGCAGGATGGCTTTCTCCTTAATTGCAAATACCTTATCTCAAACAGACCAGCACAGTGAGGATAAATTAAACAGCTTCAGTTATTCTATAGTATCATAGTTTAGCCACAGGGAGGTGTGTTTCCAAAGTCAGCCTAGCTCAGGAAATTGTTCTGTCTTACCCTACGATAAGCCTAGAAGAACATCTAGAGTCTTTTACTATGAAAATCCAACTCCTGGGAGTGTACAGTGCAGGCACCTTTGAGAAATTCACATTGTACTCAGGGATTAATCTGCAGAGTTTTAAAAATTGTGTGCAAAATTAAAGAAGTCTTGGTTTTTGCATTGCTTAAAAGCTATTGAAGTACAGACACAAGGAAGAAATTCCCTCACTTCAACTTCTATCAGTAAGAAAAACAAGACTTTGGCATTTGTTTCCAAACAGGCTTTGTTTAGTCTGTAACCCAAAGCTCTGTTTTCCTAGCACTCTACTTACCATCTGAAGACATCCTTCCATTCATAAGTCACCTTGACAAGTAACTGAACCTCATCCGTGACCCTTTTAAAGCTAAGGGGATTTACATCATCACCCCAAAGAATACACAGTGTGAAAGACTTAAACCTAG